CTCATGGTGAGGCTCCTGATTGTGACAGTCACATGGGGAATGGGGGGAGGGAGGAGGTTACCTGGCTTCTCTTTCTAGATCTTCTGGATGCTGATCTCTAGTGTCTAATTTCTGTCTCCTCCTTCCCATCACTTCTACTAAGATGCTCTCATCTTCCCCCTTACCAGCCCCAACCTCCGTGCCGCCCTTCCTGTGCTCTGCCCCTGCAGCCATAGTTTCTGCTCTCACCCTTCTTACCTGAGTGGCAGCAACAGCCCCTCCAGTCTCTGCCTCCACCCTCTCCCTCCTGCAGTCCTTGCCGTCACCTGTGTCCTCAAACTCGGCTCTGAGGAGGTCACCCTGTCAGTCAGGCGGCTTCAGGGGTTCTCCATTCCCTGCCAAATCAAGAGCAAAGCCTTTGGCTTAGCACTTAAGGGACTCTACACAGTTAAAATGCATTTAGACCTTTTACTACTCAGACTGGGCTGCTGTAACAAGATGGCATCCACTCACTGGCTTAAACAACTTGGAGGAATTTTTCAGTTCTGCAGACCTGACATCTCAGATCAGGGTGCCCGTGGGGCCAACTCCTAGTGAGGGTTCTCTTTCTGGCTCGCGTGCAGCTGCATTCTCACTGTCTTCACATGTCCCTGCACGCATGCAGACAGACTCTCCCTCTTCTGATGAGGCTGCTAAATCTGTCAGACAAGGGTTCCACCTTGACGGACTCACTTAACCTTGATGACTTCCTGAAGCCCATCTCCAAGAAAGTCACGTTAGGCGTTAGAGTGTCTACGTACAAATTTGGGAGAGACATGATTCAGTGTGTAACAGATGTCAAATATAGGTTGAACATGTACCATGTGCTGAACATTGGTCTAGGGACTGGAGATAGAGCAAAGTCAACTGTGAGTATTCAGAGAACTATGTGACTGGCTTCCTAGAGAGAAATATAAATCTCTCTATCTGTAAGACTGTGGAGCTGTGGGTGTGTACAGTCACGTGCAAATCCACATCCATCCTCACAGTGATTGCAGACAGCAATAAGTGCTGTGAGGAAAAACAAAGCATGATAAAGATGGAAGGGACAGCAGAGAATAACGGGAGTGAGTAGCTACTCAAGAATGATCTGGGAAGATCACTAATGCAGTGGTGTTTAAGCAGATGAAAACATAAGTAAAATGATACAGTTTAACCACTGGAGTTTACCCCTTGACATCAGCAGTTTGCAAACTTCTTCTACGGAAGGAACTGTTTTTGACTTCATAGCGATATGATCTTGCTCTCCACCACAGTACTCTGCCGCTGCAGTACAAAGCAACCAGAGCCTATGCCGACACAGATGAGCACGGCTGTGTTCCAATAAAACTTAATTTGCGGACACTGACATTTGAACTTCGCATAACTTTGCCTGTGTCACGAAACATTATTCTTCTTGGGACATTTTTTTTATTCCACAAACTAAAAATGGAAAAGCCATTCTTAGCTCACGGGCTGTACGAAAACAGGTGGCAGACCGGATCTGGCCCATGGGCCACACTTGCAGACTCTTGCTTCAGAGCACACAGCTGTAAGATGCTTCTCCCATTGTGGGAGGAGAATGGGGACCACTGTAGACATGCAGGTCCCTGGCACCCAGTAGGGGCTCGGTTTATATTTCCTGAAGGAGATCAAGACAGGAGGGGAGGAGAGACAGAAGGAATTGATGTTCAGGTGTGTACAAAGCTGAATGTCCTGGCTGGGGGAACCCCAGGATGACAAGACCTCGCCTGGCTGTGTCCTCTTGTTCTGCAGGGTCATTTCCTTCCACTTTCTCAGGCTCTCTGCGGGCTCCAGAAGCAAAGAGGTGTTGACATGGCCTTTGAACTTTAGAGCTACCTTTGCAAATTTAGGAGCATGCGTCCCAGACAGCCCTCCCACAGAACCCACGGAGAGCTTGTCAGTACCTGAAAAGCTCCCAGTGCCCCCTCTGCCCCCTGAGACAAATCCAGGAAAAGACACTTGTGGCCTCAGCCTGAAGCCCACTTGTGCCCTGTTCCCACGTGATCTCTCACAAGTGCCCTGATCTGCATTTTTAGCAAGAGCCCATCGGGCCCCACTTAGAAAAGTCATTTGCATCTCCCATACAGCGCCCCTGACTGCTATATTAATCTCCCCATTTGTCCCCCCCTGAGTCATCTAATATTACTGCTAGCTAATTAAAACATCAAAAACCAAGTACAGCAGCCCTGCCAGAGGCCTCCTAATGCCTGGTTTCAAGTGCGCAGCCCCACGCAGTCGGGGTGGAGGGGGTACGGTGCACTCACTCCCTGGTTCCTGACGCATCATGACCAGCCCTCACACATCTGGAACCTCAACAGATGCCTCTTTCACTAGGCCTCTTCTCTTGCTCCCTCCACTCCCTGCCAGTCAAGGCCAACGGCTGCCCTCCCACTGACCACACCTCACACATCTCCCAGCTGCTGCTCCATACACCCACCTTTCTATCCCCCATGCGTCTCCCCCCCCCCCCCCCCCCATACCAGCATCCCTCTAGGATGCCAGAGGCTCTTCAGCCTCCAGAGTGTTACATGGCTAGTCAGGGGCAGGGGGGCGGGGAGGGTTCTAAACTGGCTGAGTGACCTGCTCATATTTAGGGAGGTGGAGGTGTGCTCTCCACCTAGACAAGGTGAGATTTTATTTTCCTTATTGGCATGATCCCAGGAATTTGTCACAGCACAGCCTGCCCGGATGTCCCTTCCATTATCTGCAGGTGTGGTGGAAGAGGCAGGCATGGAGACGGGTCCCTCAAGAAGTGTTTGGGATGTCGGAGCAGGCCTCCAGGGTAGTGGGCTGTTTGAGGTGGCTTCCCAGAGCTGTAAATGGCTTAGTGTCTAGCAGGATAGAAAGTGCACATAGGGAATGAAGGGAAGACCTCATCCTGTTCTCCTGGTGTCCAGAATGGTCTCTGTAGCGAAATAATGCTGGGAGAAGCGCTAGCATTAGACGTTATCCTCAGAGTAGCAGGATAATAACACTGATAGCATGAAGCACTGGCTGACACTCAGGAGGTGATTGCAGTCATCCAAGGAGAGAAGATGGCGCGGGCAGGGTGCTGGCCAGCAGGCAGGGAGAAAGAGCAGATGAGTTCTAGAGCTACTTAGTAGGCTAAAATGAATGGGAGCAGGGTGTGAAGGGATGTGATGGATAGAGAGGGTGCCCAGGACAGTGTACACCTGCAGCTGGCTAAGGGGCATGGCGGTGGCACCAGTACAGCGGTGAGTGCCTGTGACCAGTATGGGAGGTGTGGGACGTCACAAGTCTAGTGCCTTCCATTTCTTCGCTGCTGTTGCTTCCTGGTCTGGAGCCACCTTTAATAGCGGGGTGTCTTGGTCTGCTCCTGGTCCCCATGCTCTACTGTGGTGGCCAGGTACTTTAGCACAAAGCTTCTATTACCCTGACAAGAAAAGTGACTGTGATGTGTCTCTTGCCACAGAACTTTTGCACAAGTTGTCCTCTTTGCCGACACACCCTGCTCTGCTGCCCTGCCTGGCTAACATCAGCTTATCCTCCAGATCTTAACCTAGAAGTCAAGTGCTTTGCATTAAATGCCTCTTGTGTGCTGATCCCACGTATGCTGCCAACATCCCACATTACAGCACCCGCTGCTCTCAGTGATGGTTCATTCAATCGTCAGCATCCCCACTGGACTGTGAACTCCAGGAGGGCAGAGATTACATCTGTCTCATTTGTCACGGTACCCCCTTGCCTGGCACATAGGAGATACTCAGTAAACACGTGTGGTTTTCAGTACTAGTCTTCAGAGTTCTCTATGATTGGTGTTCTGGACTTAGCCCATTTAATCAGGATTCACAGCTCCCTCCCCTGAAATCTCCAAGCTGATGCGATATGGACCCTGACTTCATCTCCTGGCACTCAGCCCACTCACACACCCCAGCCACATTGTCTTCCTTACTGGTCCTGCCTCGGGGCCTTTGCACAGCCTTTCACCCTCCATTTAGTCACCATCACCTCCTCTGTTTTAAAGTCTAATATCCCCTGAAATTATATCATTGTGTATTCATTTACTTAGTATTTATCTCTACTTCTCCCACAACAATGATGCAGAGGGCAAGGCTCATGTCTGTCTTGTTCACTGTGGTGTCTCCAGTGCCTGCTACATAGTAGATGCTCAGTAAATATTACCGGCTCACTGCCTATTACTCTACTCTTTGGCATGAGCATGACTCAACACTGGCTTTTCTCCCTCCTTGCTGAGCTTTCATGTCAGCGTGTGCCCACTGTATCTCCCTTCCAGCTGCTGAATGATTGATGTTTTTCTGATGCATGAGCACCCCTCTACCCAGCCAAGTAGACAGTTGCTCAGAAACACCCAAGACAGTGTGATCTTGAACTCTCAAATGGATGGGCTGAAATTGGTCAAGCCAGGACGTATTTTCCCCCACTCATCTACTGGACAATTTGTTTACAGATAAATAGAGAACTCAAGGTATTTAAACTAGAAGGAATGGTGAGTGCAAAGGCAGGAACAAGCTTGGTATTTTTGAGGTAGAAGTTTGGGGAGACCATTCTATGCTTCAAACTTTTCTAATGTAAACCTTACTGTTTCACCAGTTCTTGCCAGAAGCAGAAAGTTTGGGCTCACAGGAAGGCCTAGAAGTCCAAGAAACTTGACCCAGACTGATGGTGTCCTTTCTGTCATTTATTTATTCAATCAACATTCATTAAGTCCCTAGTATGTGCCAGACCCTGTGCTAGAGATTGGAAAGATGTTTGAGTTCCTGGTCCCTTACTGCAGAGAACAGATCCCAAAGGGTTCTTCCATGGCACCTCTCTCTGTACAGTGGTGAGACTAAGCTCCCCACCACTTCACACATATCCATGTCAGATACTCTCTGTGCAGCCAGATGGTGACTCAGTGCGGATTCCAGGGGGAACAGCACCTTTTCCCATGCCAGTGGAGACCGTTTTCCACACCCTCAAGAGTCTGCCTAATATACCATTTTCATTCTCTTCTCCAGTCCCCTGCCTCGGGAAAACAGTCCCCCACAAAAAATGGCAGTCCCTCCAAGTGCCCCCGCTTTCTCAAGGTCAAGAACTGGGAGACCGATGCGGTTCTCACTGACACCCTCCACCTTAAGAGCACGTTGGTGAGTATCCAAGTGGGGTGTAGACCAAGGCTTCTTGACCTCCAGCACTGGCTACGTTTGAGACCTGGGAATCTGTGTCTGAGGACTAACCTGTGTTTTGTGGGCTATTTTCCATCACCTGTGACCTGTACCTCTACATATCCTGTCCCCCAACTTGTGGCTATAAAAATGCTCACAGATAGTAATAGGTCCCTGGGGGGAGATTCACCACTACTTGAAAACCTCTGTTAAATTGCTTACTCACTCAAGTGGCTACTTTTCCTTTGTGTGCTCAGTACCCGAAAGGACCTAAGGAGAGTGCTTCTGGATGCGCCCCTGTGTTGCTCCATCTGACCTCTGATGGCGCATTGAACAAGCTCTTTCTTTCACAGTGTATCCTCTACATATTTATATTGTGTTTTCAACAGTCAGCAATCAACATACATACATTTTCGTTGAAAATGGGCCTCTTAGATGAATGTTGTATCAGTTATTTCAGTGTAAGGAACTGCTGCAAAATTTAGTGGCTTAAAACAATATCCACTCGCGGTTTTTCAAAAGCATGCTGGGTGGTTCTGCTGGCCTCAGTTAATGTCGTATATCTGCAGTCTTCTGAGGGGTCAGCTAAGTGCAGGCTGGACTAGGATGGTCCTGGCTGGGGTAACTGAACTCCGTTCCCATGGGCTTAGCCTAAGGCAAGCTAGCTTGGCCTTGTCCACACGCTGACTGCAGAGCTCTGCCTCTGCGCATGAGCAGAAGTGGGCAGAGTGCCAAGGCCAAGGCTCTGCTGGGGTGCAGCATCATTTCAGTCACTCTCTACTGACCAGAACAAGCCCAGGTACAAGGGATGGGAATGGACTCTACCTCTCGATGGTGATCCGGCAAGGTCATATTGCAAAGACTGCAAATTCAGGGAGGGGGAGGTTGGGGCTGTTTTCGCAACCAGTGTACCATCAATGTGCTCAGATGAATCACAGCAGCCACTCTACTAGCTCCTTCTTGATCAAAGGGGGATTAAAAAAATAATTGGAAGCTTCAGTATCAGTGATCCTGAGTCCCAGGGAATGCCGGTCACAAAATCAGGGAAATGTTTTCAGAGCCTCACACTGCTGCAGAGCGTCCCTTGTGATGGCTGCTGACCGCATCAACTATTTTATTGAAGCAGGTACTTGAGAAAACCCCTCTGGGAATTAAAAGCCCCATAAACTCCACCATATATATCAGGTGCAGGCCTACAGCTGAATTTATGTCACACTCAGGTAAAACCAAGCAATGACCCAAATCTCTTTCAGGAATCGGGATGCACTGAGCACATCTGCATGGGCTCCATCATGCTTCCTTCCCAGCAAGTCCGAAGACCTGAAGACGTCCGCACAAAAGAACAACTCTTCCCTCTCGCCAAGGAGTTCATTGATCAGTACTACTCGTCAATTAAAAGGCAAGAACAGGGGCCTCCCTGGTGGCTCAAGGGGTTAAGTCTCAGCACTATGAAGCTATCAGCAGCCACTGCAGCACAAGTTCGATCCCCAGCCCGGAAGCTGACCCATATGGCACAGCAGACCTCCACTGTCTCACCCGCTGCTCCCCTCAGCAGTGTATTTTAGTAGATCCACCTGTTCTGCTCCCTACTCTGTCTCTGGTGAATCTTCTCACTCCTCCACACCTCTGGCCTATACCCCAGCACTTGTATACAAAAATAAATAAAATAAGTCTTACAAAAAGGCAAGCATATGTCAACTCTAGGAAATCAAGGAAATTCCAACTTCACAGACAGTTGATAAGGCCTCTGCTCAGTATATACAGAAGCCAAAAATCAGGACTCTAGAGCCAAATCTAGCCCTTGGGTATGCCTTTTTTTTTTTTTTTTTGGTCTGAAATAGGTTGCTTAAATATAAAACATTTTAAGTAATTCCATACTTAGGTCTATACCCTTAAGAAATGCTACCTGTTCACAAGAAGGTGTGCATGAAAATCCTCACTGAAAAATTGTATAGTAAGGGGAAAAGTAAAGAGCCAATTGGAAATCACCTTAACTCCATTCATGGGATAACAGGAGAATGTGTAAATGAATTGTGTTATTTTCCTAATGGACTACTATACAACTGTAAAAAAAAAATGAATGGACTAGATTTCTACATGCTCGTGGGAATAAAGCTCACAAATACTTTTTATCAAAAGAAAGAATAACTTGTAGAAAGGTGCCATTTATATAAACTGTTAAAACATGTAGAATGATACTGTATATGAATTAGGGGCACACACATACACACAGCAGAAATGCAAACAAAAACCTGGTAAATGTCAAAATGAAACAGAAGCCCTTTCTGGGGGAAAGGGGACTATAATGAAGAAGAAATCCCCAAGGGATTTTATTATTTCTTCTACCTATGTATTATTTCTTAGACTTAGTGGGTTGTTACATTGTTCTCTATACCTCTTAGTAAGGTAGGAATTTTTCATAATAATTTTATTTTCTAAAATTGTATTCATTGCTAACATTTGAAAATTAGAAGAGTTCCCTTCAAAACTCAGATTTCCCATTTATTTCGAGGGAATCGCTGACAGCACTAAACCCCCATTCCTGTAGAGCAACCACTGACTGGAACAGAATGTGGTTCCTCCTCTGCACCAGCCGGGAACGGCCTGTTAGCCACAGTCCCCACCCAGCCAGTTTGGTCACGTGTTCCCTGGTCGTTGGCAGCCAAGTTTGTGGTCTCCTTTCTGTTGCAACTATTGTGTCCAGCGATCTGCTCGGACTTTCTGTACTTCTGGCCTCCTGTAACAGCTCACACCTCCCACCAACCTCTAATTCAGGAGAGAAGGTGAAGCTCCCATCTCTGTTCCCTCACTCAGATTTGGCTCCAAAGCGCACATGGAGCGGCTGGAAGAGGTGAACAAAGAGATCGAAACCAACAGCACCTACCAGCTCAAGGACACAGAGCTCATCTACGGGGCCAAGCACGCCTGGCGGAATGCCTCCCGCTGCGTGGGCAGGATCCAGTGGTCCAAGCTGCAGGTAGGCAGTGAGGCTGACTGCCCTGAGGCCCTTGGGAGGGGTTGGGGGGGGTGCATGGACCCTTAAAGACTTTTTAAAAAGCAAGGGGCTCCTGAAAATCCTGGCCTATCAGGCAGCACTTGAGTGGTCCCAGATTTCTGGATAAAGGTCAAATCCAGCCTCTCAGCATGTCTTATCAAGGCAACGCAATGTGATTCAGAAATGAACACACATGTGTGTCTGTTGGGCTTGTACCGCCTGTTTACCACTCCCCCCACCGCTCCGCTTCGTCTGACATTCACTCTCTTTGCTTGTTTATATTACCTGCCTACTCCCTAAAAGCGTCCGATTCTATGTTCCCTGGTTTGATTTTTCTCTATGGGCAGCAGTTTCAAGTGCAAAACAGATTTGTTATAAAACTGAAAGGGGGTAGTTTTGTTTCATTTTTAAATCCAAGACCCTTAGTAACCTAATGGAAAATGCATCCAGCCCCTTAAAAATGCCCTCATTTCCCATACTCACCCTCCGTGTCTGTTTTTAGAGGATTTTTCATGTTATCCACTGGTCATTAGGATAGAAGATCCAACAGACAGCTCAGCCATGCTCCAAGGGGCAGTGGCTGGAGCGGGCTGGGGGCTGCCCGCCAAAGGGCAGTTTGCCCTGGGGAGCTGAGGGGAGGAGGAAGCACGCTGGCCACTCTTTCAGGTGTTCGATGCCCGCGACTGCACCACCGCTCATGGGATGTTCAACTACATCTGCAACCACATCAAGTACGCCACCAACAAAGGCAACCTCAGGTGAGTTTGGGGGGTGGAGACAGACTGTGCTAGCGTGCTGACCCTTAGGTCTGGACTGGGGCCACCTGCGTGGGAAACACCCCTCCCCTCTCAGGAAGGCAGTCCACCTGGGAGAGATGGCCTGGCTTCTCAGTCCTCCACCATATGCCAGCTCCTGGGAGAAACAGATCCCCACATGTTTGCAAAATGACAGCAACCAAAATCTCTTCCACCTCCCGTTTAAGATCACCTAGAGATGGGCAGAATGGGAGAATCACTGGCCAGTGCTCACCTGTGTGACCTGCTCCAGCCCCAAAGCTCCCCAGGTTTAGAGGGCGATTCCTCCTCCCACTGCTGTGGAAACTGCTCCTTCAGGTGCCACCAAGCGCAGCCACACCTCGGACTCCTCTGGCCCCAGACAAAGAACAAGACCATGGGGGGCAGGACACCACACAGGGCTCCCCTGTGGGCTCTTGGTTTCTATGCTGGCAAGTAGCAGCTGGGCGGGGAGCAGCTGGAAGGGACCAGCTGGGGCCCTGAGACAGAAGCGACACTTGCTAATCCTGGTCACTCAGCCCTGGCCGGCATCTGCTCCCAGCTCTGGGACCAGCCCCATCTTGGGGCTGCACCGGGTGGTGGGGGCACTACAGGGACATTCCCACATGCCCCCAGGCTGCGCTGAGCAACTCCTCAAAGTGGCTTGATTGCACCGAGCCTGGGTTTTCTTGCTTGTGTCCTCTCCTTAAGGAGAAAGTGGTGTTTGCCAGCTCAGCCTCCCAGTAGGAGCAGGGCCTGCCAGGGGAGCTGGTATTTAGAGCCTTCTTGTAAAAGACCCCACCCGTCACCACTCAGAGAACATCTGACAATGTTCCTGCAAACTTCTGCATGTCCTGAGCCTAACTTGGAGGAGGAGGGCCAGCTCAGACCTCTGCCCTCCAGAGCCTGCGGGCCACTCTGGAGGTTTTCAGTGGCGCTGTGTCAGTAGCGGGGATGTCACCACTGACCAGGCAGTGCACCTCCAGATTTTCTAGGGAGAGAATGTCTTCATGAGATTGTCCATTAAAAACGTAGCCAATTCTGTACGAGTTTTAAGCCACACATCTGAAACTGATGAAAAGCCATAAAGAACACACAGCATAGAGAAGTAGAGAAATAGAGAAATAAAGTAGAGAAGTAGAGAAATGTTCCAAATATAAGATAGGAAGGCAGGCCGGGGAGGGGAGAGAAATGTCATTTAAACAGAGCAGGGCGTCTGACCACCCCCAGAGGAGGAGGCTGGGAAGGGTAAGTGGGATCCACTTCTTATGTTGGTCTCAGTTTAGGCACATTCAGTGAGTGTCCCACCGCTCTGTGTGACTCTGGTGTTTCTAAATCTACACACATGCGTGCACACACACACACACATACACACACACCTCTTTATCAGCTGCTCAACCAAAGAAACACCAGCGTTTCTCCCCTGAAGGGAAAACTGACAGTTTGCCTCTCGCTGTTCACCGTGCAGCGTGATATTTAAGAACACCCTTCACCCTCTGTGACATCTGCCTTCAGCTGGGTTCTAGACTCACTTTCAAGTGCCACACACCACCCCTGAATATTAAATATTGTAGTGGACATGCAGTTAGGCCTAAATGTGCTCACAAAGAAGGTGGCCCCCGACAATAGAGGAGGCAGAGGAGACTATGTGGAGAAAGTGAGTGGGAGCCAGACCTGGACTTAGGGTGCATGACAGCAGAGCGGGATACTAGACAAGGAGGTGGGGAACAAACGGGGCAAAGGGGGTGGTGGGAGAAAATCTACAGCCCCAGGCTGACCCAGCCAGGGTGATGTTGCCTGGGGTCTGATTCCCTGATGAGACGATGACTTCAGGTGGCAGGAGCTCCTGGCATTGAATTACATGGTGAAAAGGTTTTCTCCTCTCAGTTTTTTTTTTTTTTTTAAGATTTATTTATTTATTCATACAGAACTGGGATACAGGCCAGAGGTGCGGGGGTGGTGAAAGGATTCACCAGAGACAGAGTGGGGAGCAAAACAGGCAGATAGAGGAAGTACACTGCTGAGGGGAGCAGCGGGCGGGTCAGGAGAGGTCTGCCGCGCCATGTGGTCACCTCCGGGGTAGGCGGGGATCGAACTCATGCAGGATTGGCTTTAGCTTCTTAGTGCTGTGCTTTGACCTGCTGCGCCACCAGAGAGACCCCTCTCCTCTCAGCTTTTTAACCCATCTTTCTTATACCCAAGAAAAAGCCTGGTTTGGTGCTAAGGCATCCCTAGCTTCTCTCTATACTTGCTAGTCTCCCTTTTAACAAGGAAAAGTTCTTTCTACACTGCAACAGCAGCTGTTTGTCTAGGTAAGGCCAGCCCAGTGCAGTCCTGTCAGTCCACGTAAATCAATGTGGGCATAAACAGAAGTGAGTTTCTTTTGAGGCTGGCTGTAACTTTGGTGAGGGATAGATGGGCACACTGGACAAGAAGGAACGCTGGTAGGAAAAGAGGTGGCGCCTGGAATCGTGGTTCATTCTTAAAGGGAGTTAGAGTGCGAGGCTTCTTCCCAGGAGGGTACCAGTTTCACGAGAACCGGAAAACGGGCCCAAGAGGCCATGGCTCAAAGCCTGTGGTTAGAAGTCACTCCAGCTATTAAAAACAGATCTAGCGTGTGATCCAGGGACTCCTTGCCTAGATCCTTGTCCAGAGAATACAGAGCACCCTCTGAAGGGGTGGGTGTATTCCTGTGTTCACGGTGGCACAGTCGAGTGGCCAAGTTATGGAAACAACCTAAGTGCCCACCGATAAATGGGAAGGTTAAGAAGATGGGGTACATTACACATGATGATAGTTTGCTATTTGTAACAGCGAATTGGAGGGGATGCTGCTAAGTGAAATAAGTCAGAGGGGAAAGACCAGCGCCAAGTGATTTCAGTCCTATGTGGAATATAAAGAGCAAACAAAGAAACAGATGAAAAGCCAACCAAAAGATGCCCTAGAATTCTGACTCCAGGACTGAAGCTCCTAGATGGCACGTGGGGTGGGGAGCGGCGAGGGGAGGGGCCACTGCACTCTGGTGGAGGCCTGTGGGGCCCTGGTGGCGGTAGGGTGAGATAGCACACCTGAGGACGTGCGAGCCTAGTCCCGAATCACATATACTGTTGAAAACCAACATTACCTCAATTTTAACAATACAATTAAAAAATGTTTAAAAATACAAACCTCCATTTCGGGCCTCCCTGATGGCCTAGGGGTTAAGTCTCAGCGTTGTCACTGTTATGGCCCGAGCTCCATCCCTGGCCAGGAGCTGACCCACACGGCGCAGCAGACCTCTCCTGTCTCTCCCGCTGCTCCCTCAGCAGTGTGTTTCAGTCACTCCATCTGTTTCGCTCCCCACTCTGTGTCTGGTGAATCCTCTCACATATGTACCATTTCCCCTACTACCCCATACCCCAAACATCTGGCCTACACCCCAGTTCTTCTATGAAAAAAAAAATACAAGCCTCCATTTAGATCAATATTCCCCCTTCTTTCGGAGAGTTGGCATGCCCCCCCATTCCTCAGATCAGTGGTCCAGAGGAAGGACAGAGAAGGGTCCCTCCCTCCCAGCAGCGCTCCAAGGGCCCTGGGGACTTTAGCACAGATGTCATCTGCCTAAGCCTCACGCAGCAGCTGGCCTGGCCAGTGCCTTCTCCAGCGTGTCCCCGGGGTGCCAGCCCTGCCCTGACCCAGCTGTCCCCTCACTCCCCACAGGTCAGCCATCACCATCTTTCCCCAGAGGACCGACGGCAAGCATGACTTCCGCGTCTGGAACTCCCAGCTCATCCGCTATGCTGGCTATAAGCAGCCGGACAGTTCCATCCTGGGGGACCCAGCTAACGTGGAGTTCACAGAGGTGCGTTCCCCCACTGCCCTCCTGGCCTCTCCATCCCCCTTCTGTCTTTATCCACAGACATTTCTCATTGATTGTTTTCATCATAAAGCCAGCAGTCAGTGAGGCGCAGTTTAGCTGTCTCCAGACCCCCTGTCCCATTTGGTTACCAGACTCCCCCACCAACCACCCACATATAGCTGGTGCCTAGACAGCTGGTCATCTGGTCATATTCATGCCATTATCTCACTGGAAATTTATCACCTTTGTCCCATTTCACAGACGGGCAGACTGAGTCTCCCCGAGGCTAAATGAGTTGTTCACAGCTATTAAATGAGCATAAGGAAAGTTAGATTCGTGGTCCAAATCTCCCGCCTCCCACCAGGAGGAAAGGAGCTGACATATGGAAGCGTGTCTGGCACCCACTTTTTCTGAGTTGGGTAACATGTCAGACTCTTATCATTCATTCATCCATTTGTTTATGCAACAGTCCTGCCCACTCCACCCCTCGCTGGGTGGGCTTGACTCCATGGTGTCAGCACCACCAAACTGCTGGCAGCCTAACACCATCCCTCACAGTGCCTGGACTAGACATACGAATCCACCATCTCCCCACCCTGGGGTCCCTCCAGGTAGTGATGTCGAAAGGTGACCCTGGCCAGGTTTGTCTCTCACGGTGACCTTGCCGCTAGAAGACACCCAGGCCACCATGATCTCAGGCACATGGGCCTGGAACCCCCTTTTATTTATCACCCACTCATCTCACTGAAGTCCATCTTTGTCCTTTCCTCCAGCTCCCCCCTGCTCCTCTCCCGCCCCACTCTGATTTCATTTGCATGTGGCTTTTCTTCTTAAAATGTTATTATCCTGAGGAGGGGGCTGTCGCCAGGGCAACCAAGAGTCGCACCTGTGTCCTGTTGCCTCAGCCAAGTCTCCGCTCCACTTGGCTGAGCACTAACTGTAGACTTGGCTGACCTTGTCCCGGGGCTCCCAGAACATGAACCCATGACTCCCCTCCTTCTGTCTCCAGAACAGGTTCATGACAGAACAGGTTCTCCTAAGCCCTTGATTTCGCGCCTCCTCTTTCTGCTAACACCACAGAAAGAATCACCCCAAGCACAGCCACACAGAAGTATCTCATGAACCGCCCTCGCCCTGTGCCATCTACCCAGCAGCTGTGCTGGCCTGTGGAGAGTCCAAGCTGAGTCATGCCTCTGGTGTTAAATACACGCCACATCTCGTAGACTGTGCACAAAACAGAGTGGAAATGCACAACTCATTCATAAATTTTATCTTGATTACCTATTGAAATAATAATACTGACAACAATATTAGGCTAATTTATTAGAAATGCATTTATTGGGCTAATAAATATATTTTATACTAAAGATAAAGATCTTATCTATTAATATTAATGATTTATTTAATGATTATAATAACGTAGTGGTGATGTTTAATCACTAATTACATGTTCTATGTTTGACATATTGATCATATAATAAATATGTCACATATTTAAATGCAATGTCAAATGTTATTAATATATATCAATATTAATATCATATTTAGTAGTATTAATGTTAGTATAATTAAATATTGCCATTTAATACTGATTTAATAATTAAATAGTGTTGAAATTAAAATATAAGTAAATTTAAAGGAATATATTATTTAAATTATTTTCACCTGCTTTTGTTTGGGGTTTTTTGGGTTTTTTTTACTTTTTGAAATGTGTCTACTAGTCCATTTTAATTACTAGTTGGCATGCATTAATATTTTGATTGACAACTACAGGTGCCTTTGCTAACTCTACCCTTACCAAATTTGGTAGATTATCTTTGTATCTCGAAGCCCCAGTGCACACAGTTGGGACCCCGCATCCTCCGTGTGCTCTGCCCTGTGCATAGAGCATGGCAGTTACAAGCTGTGCCCAGCCCTGGCCCTCTGGATTCCCAGTGGGGCTGGGACTACAGCTTTGTCCTGTCTGGTGGCACCAGAAGAGACTGTGCTAGCTATGCAGTGATGCCCAGAAGAACCTCTGAAAGAGGGGACACAGCCAGACCCCTAGGGAAGGGGCTGCTGGCCGGCTGGCCTCTGGAGCTCCGCCCCACCACTGCCGTCATTTTGGGAGAACTGGGGGCACAGTGGTCTGATCTGGGGGTTTGGTCGCAGATCTGTGTGCAGCAAGGCTGGAAACCGCCGAGAGGCCGCTTCGATGTCCTGCCACTCCTGCTGCAGGCCAACGGCAATGATCCTGAGCTCTTCCAGATCCCTCCAGAGCTGGTGCTGGAAGTGCCCATCAGGCACCCCAAGTAAGAAGGGCTGGCCCGGGGTGGGTGCAGGCCGTGGATGTACCCAGCGCCCCTCTGCCTAGCCCTATGCCCCCCTGCTCCATCTTTCGCACAGACAGAGGCTGGAAGGAGTTTTGGTTCCTTCCCCACCATGGGGCCCGGGCAGAGTAGAAATTCCAAGAATTAGCAAGTCCTGTTTGATATCATCTTTTCTGAACCCTAATCTCTCTGCCCACCCCATTCCTAAGCAACCACCCAGAACTTGCTCTTCTTCCAGCCCTACAGGAGCGCAAAACACCTCCTGTTTTATTCCTGCAAGTGGAGGGAGTTGTTTTAACTCTACATGACCCTGTGTGGGTCAGGTCAATAAGGAATTTAGAGCTATGGGGTTCTGGGAAAAGTCATGACACGTTTTTGCTTGAAAAAATAGAAGAAATAGCTTAGTGAGATAAGCCAGAAAGAGAAAGAAAAATACCGATGGTTTCACTCATAGCAGGAGTATAATGGACCAGGCGAGAAAATAACAAGAATAATGAACAAACATATACCAGAGACATTTTGTGGGGGTGGAGTGGGGAGTGGGGGGGGGAGGGAAGTGCACGGGATTATGGTGATGGCACACAAGTGACATGGTGATGGGAAACCCGCAGGGATTACAATTGAGATGGTAAAAAAAAAATGTACAAAATGATGTAAAAATAAACTGTTATAAAATTTTAAAAAATAATTAATAAAATGTTAAAAAAAATAGAAGAAATACATCATGACTTCTTTCTGATAACCCAACAGAAAGGAGCTTAGAGGGCTGGAGCCAGAGGCCCCAGCAGAATCTGTACTTTGAGAGTGAAGGAAGTCCACAGTGAGACACTGGCCTCAGGAACAAAACTGGGAGAAAACTCAATAATTGAAATATGTAATATTTCAATGCAGCTTATTAAAAAGAATCAAGAATTTTTCATTCATGATGTCCAACATGTTAAAATGTTTAATTAAGACAGGATCCAGGTTAAGGTGGTGCCAGGAAGGCAAGTCATGCGTGTACAGTGTGAAATCCTGTCTTTATTTAGTTTTGGCATTTTGTTTAATACAGACTTTTTTTTTGCACTCATGTTGATCTTTTTAAAACATTGCCTTAATTTTGAATATTGCATGCTTAAATAATAGTAGTGACTACCTGGTTTGTTGGCCCTTAAATTTTTCACACAGGACTAGTGCCTGGCTAGCCCAGCCAGTCCAGCCCTGGTGAGAGAGCAACACCACCAGAGTCTGATGCTGTCTGCAGTCTGGGAACTTGCCCAGCCTCCCTGGAAAATTCACTCATCCACTGGCCTGGTCAGCAGGGCTCATTGTCCCCATTCCCAGCCCCGCAAGACCCTGCTAGCTCTGGGGCTGACTTGGTCCCTGTCGCCATGGTACTTTCCATCTCAAGGAGAAGACTTTACACATCCAATTACCATAATAACCACTCACTTCCAACAAAAAAATGACTGCACAAGCAAATTGTATGGTCTGCAAAAAATAATCTATATTAAATCTATGGATCTCCTGACCCAACTCAGACAGGGGGACATCAGGGAAGGCTTCCCAGAGGAAAGAAGATTTTAGCTGAGCATTAAAGTGTGGGTAAGAGCTGGGCAGGCCCAGAAGGAAGGGAGGGGGTCTCTGGAGGTAGGAAGTGTCCATACAAAGGCCCTGGGTAGGAAGGGACTCAGTGGACTCACTTTTCTACAGGATTCCTTGCAGGGTGAGGTTGAAAGATAAAAAAAATAATAATTTTGTAAAAATTTTAAAATAAAAAATAAAAAAAACCAGAAAGATAAGCAGCCCCCAGGCCGGTTTCCCCAGCCCAGGTATCCACCCGAAGGAACAGGGAAGAGTGCTGGAATGCATATTCTCAGGTCCCAGCTGGAGAACCTGATTCCACAGCTCTGAAGCTGAGCCCCAGAGTTGGGTCCTGATGTAGGTCACTGGCCAGTCAGCACCCCAGGCTGGGGCTGTCCCCCCAGTTTTGCCTAGGAGATTGCTATCCGTCGTAAGCTGTGTTGGTCTCCACAGGTTTGAGTGGTTCAAGGACCTGGGGCTGAAGTGGTACGGCCTCCCTGCCGTGTCCAACATGCTCCTGGAGATCGGCGGCCTGGAGTTCAGTGCCTGTCCCTTCAGCGGCTGGTACATGGGCACAGAGATTGGCGTCCGAGACTACTGTGACAACTCGAGATACAACATTCTGGAGGTGAGGTCCCTCCGGGCTTCAGAACCATGAAGCAGGAGGCAGAGGGGAAGGACACTGAGCTGTGGTGGAAACTCAGTGAATTAGTACAGAACCTGCAATCCTAGAGAAACCCCTGGCGACCCCAGAGGCGTCCTTGGCCTGAGCAGTGCAGGTGCTCTGTGCCAGGCACTGTCCAGAGCACCTTGTATATATTACATGCTCACAGAGGCCTCACCATCACCTCTAGATATGATAATCTCCCTTTCACAAATAAGGAAACAGAGGCCTTTCAGAGGAGTAATCAGGGAGAGGCCACGCAGCCGGAGAAAGGCAGGGCTGGGAAGCAACCCAATGTGACTTTATGGTTGAGGAGAAAAATTCAGTTCCAGCTCCCCTGGGTGTGCCCTTTATTTTGACACAAACACTGGACCTCCCACACTTCCAGCCACCTAATGTGTGTGGGGTTCCCAGGCAGTTCTGTGGCGTCAGCTAGGTGTCCCACAGCGGAACCCAATTCTGACCCCGTCTGCCTGGAGTGTGTCAGACTCCACAGCTCAAGGCCTCAGGCCCCCAGGCTGCTCCTACTTCAGGTGCTGACCACAGGTACTGGGTCCCTAAATTCCCACAACTTCTTTATGCAGTCACAGGGCCCCATGACCCCCTCTGAAACTTCCATTAATTTGCAAAGATGCCTCACAGGACTCAGGGAAGCCCTCTCTTACACTCACCAGTGTTCAAGGTATTGATAAAGGACATGCAGACAAAGAATTGCGTGAGGTGAGGTGAGGTCTAGCGTCAGCAGCTTCTGACCCTCTGGAGTTGGGGTGCATCACACTCCTGGTATGTGAATCTGTTCACCAACCTGGCAGCCCCCTGAACCCTGTGCTACTGAGAGTTTACAGAGGCTTCCTCAGGCAGGCATGATCAATTATTAGCCCCATTTCCTAGAGCGCAGGGGCGGGGCTGAAAACTCTGTTTTTGGTGATGACTCAGTCTTTCCGGGGACCAGTCCCCATCCAGCATCACCCCATTTAAACACAGATGTTCCTAGTGTTCCTATCACTTAGGAATTTACTAGGGTTTCCAAAGTCCTGTCATGAAGGGGGACAGAGGCCAATTATATATTTTCTGTTATCTCACCATGATCCAAGTTGATATCCCCTCTGCCACATCACTCTCAATGCGAAATCTTGTTGGAGGGGTTTAAGAATGATCCATGAACTTGAGACATTTTTTTATCTCTTTTCTGAAAAGCAAGGGAGGAAGTTAGACAGAGGTTCGCTGCCCTTAGGGTCTGGCTCCTGGTTGGCTAAGTCACCCTTGTCTGCCAGAGCTCAGGGCCCAGCGCTTCCTGAGCTCAGCTGGCGGAAGCACCAGTCCAGCTGTTTTTGTCAGCAAATGTGCTGAACAACAGCCTGCTGCGATTGTCTTGTTTGAAGGGAAGACATTGAGAAACAGAGATGTGAAAACCTGAGTGTCTGTCACACAGTAAATTAGGGACAGAGTCAGGATTAGAGGCAGCACCAAGCACTGGGCTTTTGTAGTTACAACCCACAGTGTTCACATGGATGGGCCTGGAGGTCATTATGCTCAGTGAGATAAGTCAGACAGAGGAAAACAAAGACAGTGATCTCATTCACCTATGGAATCTGTTGTATTATAAACTTCAAAGTTGCTAAAGGACTAGACCATTTCACAAAATGAAAGAATTATATGACCTGATGGAGGTGGTAGTTATTTTACAACATATCAGTGTATCAAATGAATGCACAGTACACCTTAAACAATATTATATGTAAGTTAAATCTCAATTTTTTTATGTCCAGGAGTCCTGAGCCTGGCTGCACTTGGGGGAAGTACGCCCCAGTCCCCTCCCCCAGAATCAACATGGAATTGTTCCAGGATAAGACCTGACCATCAACATGTTTTAGGGCTCCCAGAATAGTCTTCTGGGCAACTACTGATGGAAAAAAAAAAAAAAAAAACCTATCTTATTCCATTTCTAGAGATGTGATTTAAGTTGCATGTGGAATTATTATTCTGCAATGAATTTCTGTTCTTTTAACCATCAGTATACTGTAGAAGCGACAATACCAGCATGACTGGCCATAAACTTCCATTTGTGTGTGAAATAACTCGTTTTATATATTTATGTAGAGTAGCAAATTATCTTCCTTCCTGTATGTGTGTGTCATTGCTAGAAGACCCCAAGCAGAATCTAACATTTCAGCCTCCACGAGTGAATTAATAAGTCTGTTTTCATAATCTCTGCTTACATTTCAATTGCAAAAAGTAGTCACTGGGTAGCTTAAATGAGTCTGCCACCCTAACCCTCCAGTGCCAGCTGCCATTATGTACAAACGTTGACAGCTGGGGCTGGGGAGCGATTTACCCAAGCCTAAGACACTTCGCTTCCAGCTCCATAATGAGACCTGAGTTCCACAAGCGACTAGCCTTGACAGAGGAAGTGGAAAGCCAGGCTCCAATTAATGAATTTGCTATCGGGTCTCCCCTACTCCTGACATCAGCTTCTGCTTCAGCTTTAACTGCAACATAAATGTCAGGAGCTGTTTTTTTCCAAGTCATTTTGCCAAAGGATATTTGGTGGCTGGTGAGCTGCACCCAGGACTCAGGCATTGTGCACCTCCCTGGGCGCCAGCCCCAAGGCCAAGCAGCTGCGCACCTTGAGCAAGCCCTTGCACCTCTCTGAGCCTCAGTATCCTCGCCTGGCAGATGGAATTAGGCAGGTGTCCCCATGAGCTCCAAGCACCATGTTCTAGATTCCAAGTAGTGGCCACTGCGGCTCACTAGAGCAGGATGGAAGGGAACCTTTCTTGCTAGGAAGCAGATCATGTTACCCTCAAAAACCCAGAACACTGTTGAATGCCTTACAGAGATACCCCGTCACATTGGAATCAAAATCTGACTGGTTGGCATGTCCTTTAAGATCCTGCAGGACCCAGTGCTGCCTCTCTTCCACCAGCTCTGCTGGCACATTCTCCTCTGTATACACTGAGCTCTGCTCTGTTACTCAGACTGCACAAGCCTGATCCCAACACAGGGCCTCTGCACATGCTTTGTGTGCCTGACCACCCACCCCCCTTGGTCTGCAAATGCCTTGCTTCTCACCCTGTAGCTCCCATCCTGTGTGCTACCTCCACAAAGGGACTTCCCTGCCTCTGCTGGATAAATTAAATGCATTTCCTTGTCTTTCTTCTAGCTAAGTATTAGCACTCATCACAGTCTCAACTGTCGCTCTCCACCATTAGAAGATAAGCTCAATACTAAAAGGGCCAGAAGTCACTCTAATTTCCTGTTACCAGTAGGTCCTCATTGAAAAACAAAAAAGCTTTGATAGAGCAAGTTAATCAGTGAATGAACGGGTTGACTAAGAAATTCATGGGTGACACCAGCCCTGACCCTCTTTGACCTAAAATCCTAAGTGTCACAGACCAGGGATCTATGTTTCCTTTTCAGGAAGTGGCCAAGAAGATGAACTTGGACATGAGGAAGACCTCCTCCCTGTGGAAGGACCAGGCGCTGGTGGAGATCAACATTGCTGTTCTCTACAGCTTCCAGGTAGCCCCAGGGCATGCCTTCGATGGTCAAGCCTCAAATGAGAACTGAACCCTTTCAGAGTCTGGAAGTAGAGGATAAAGGGCACTAGCTACCTAGAACCGCCTCTGATACAGGTGTTTGGGAGGGGGGAAATGTCCCTACCGCAAGCCTGCTCCCCACCATACACGCTGTTCTCCTCATTGTAGATCTCGGGTAGATTTGTGAGCTGTTACCTAATAGCATGTTAGAATTGAAATGGAGGCATCTTCTATGTCTTGCCACTCTTAGCATCTCAGACTATTAAGGAACAAAGACAGCTAAACTCAGCATTTTCTCAGAAACCCTTCAGTGCACACACATGTGGAATTTCCCACCATCCATCAGAGACATCAACGTCCCCGCTCGGTGACGGCTCAGTGACAAATAATGTAGCAGGATCACTGTAACATTTCTGCAGGCAAAAGGGGGCGCTGCTAATCATCATGCCAGGACAGTGGGCATCAGCCCAGATTCTCTCAACAAGCCAGGAACACGATAGACCAAAGGTGAATCTACATTAGAGACCAGCTCGGTCTGCTGGGGCTGGCAGTCCGGGAAGCTCTGTCCTCGTGGATACACAGGGAAGGCCCACACAGTTGATAGATGGACATGTCCATCCTGGATAGACGAGGCTGTGAACCGCAGGTCACACGTCAGGGACAAGGAGAGTAGGTGTGCGAGGAATGTCCCAGCAAACAGACAAGTTGAGGTGGGCAGTAGGCAGGGAGTCCTCTCTCCTCTCTGGGCCATGGAGGAGAGAAATGGACGCAGGGGTTTGGTGGCCTGGTGGGCTGCTGCCAAGACCAACAAGTCAGAAGTGGCGGAATTGTGGGTGGCGAGTGGCAGAGAAAGAAAGGTGCAGGAAGGGGGCACAGTCCGGGGGGTGGGGGGCAGAGGGAGCAAGCGCTGCTCGGCTGGAGTGTGAGTGTAGCCAGCAAGCACAGAGAGGAGTGGGAGGCCGAATCACCCAGGCCAGCCCACCACCTCCGCTGTGACTGACTTCTACTTTTCATAGAAGTCAGAAAACACTTTTACTTGAAAAGGATTTAGATCACTACCATAAATGGAGCGTGGGTATCAGTGGCCATCCATGGAAGAGAACTGTAATAAAGAGCAATTAATGCGTCACCCTCCCTGGTGACGCAGTGGGTTATATAGCGCAGCACTGCAAGCGAGCCGCGGCCACTTCAGTGGGAGTTTGATCCCCGCCCTGGAGGTGACCACATGGCGCAGCAGACCTCTCCTGACCTGCCCGCTGCTCCCCTTGGCAGTATATCGTCAGCCAGCCTGTTCTGCTCCCCACTCTGTCTCTGGTGAATCCTCTCACTGCCCCTGCACCTCAGGCCTGCACCCCAGTTCTGTATGCATAAATAAATCAATCTTTTTTAAAAAAGAAATTAATGAGACAAAGCAAAGCTACCTGAAGGTCCTCTCCCATTAAAAAAAAAAAAAAAGATATCTTGACAGAGAGAGAGTTGGCGATCTTTCGCTCTCTTGCCATGTAGCAAAACAATTTATGAAACTGCTTACTTGATATGATCAGTCCTCTTTGTAAAAGCAAGAAATTTATATACATTTTTTTTAAATGGAAGGCAAAGAGAGAAGAGGAGGGAGGAAGGTGGCCAAGGTGATTCTTTGGGAGAAGGTGCACAGCCAAGCCAGTATGTTGATGTCTCTGATGGATGGTGGGAAAGTCCGTGTGTACCTTGTCTGATCTTCCGCGTGTTCTTCATTCAGTGTGTATTTCTTTTGCAATTAGAAAATTCACAGTACATTTTTGTGTTTGTGAGGAGCAGGCTGGCATCTATGGTCATGATCTCAGTTCATGCAGTTATTCCTGTTCCCTCATGAATTCAGACTTTATTTTCCTCAAGTTAAAGCCATTGTGAATTTTTTAAGGGAGGGAGGGAGGAGGAAAGAGGAAGATGGGCAAGAGGGGTATTTAAGAGAGCTGGCACCCAGCAGAGACTCCCCAGGGTACTGGCAAAAGGAAGGAAGAGAAATGCTGAGAATCACGAGCATCACCTACAGAAACAGCAGATACGTGGCAGAGGGGAGGAAGTCCCCACATAATACAGCTTCTCTTGCCCCTGACGCCGTGTTCCCTCTGGCCCCACAGAGTGACAAGGTGACCATCGTGGACCACCACTCAGCCACCGAGTCCTTCATCAAGCACATGGAGAACGAGTTCCGCTGCCGGGGGGGCTGCCCCGCCGACTGGGTGTGGATTGTGCCCCCCATGTCTGGCAGCATCACCCCCGTCTTCCACCAGGAGATGCTCAACTACCGGCTCACCCCCTCCTTCGAATACCAGGTTCTGCCTCCTCCCTGCTTCTTCCATCTCTACTGTTGTTGTCACAGGTGGAGTCACTCTCCACTCAGACAACCAGACCCCCAAGTGCTCCGTCACCAGCATGGCCAGTGGCCACCAAGTGGGACAGCACAGGTCTAGCTGAAAGACTAATAGGGAGGAAATATGTGGGTGGGGCCAAAGGTGACTGGAAGGGCCCCAGGGTCAGAGCAGGGAGGCTGGACCTGCTACGTTGTACAGGGTCGCCTGTGGGCCTCACTGACAGAGTCCCCCCCTTCCAGGGCCTGGGGTGGGGCATGACCTGGAGACCCCAAGTAGAGCTCCCCAAGTCCCTAGGGAGCCCCAGGTGTCCACAGCTAGAGCCAGATTCCCTCACTACAGTGATCCTATCTCTTCCCAGCCTGACCCCTGGAACACCCACGTCTGGAAAGGCACTAATGGGACCCCCACAAAGCGGCGAGCCATCGGCTTCAAGAAGCTGGCAGAGTAAGTAGGTTGGGGGTGGGAGGCATGGCTGTGCCCTCAAACTCTGAGAGCCCCATAAAAGGAAGCTGAGCAGGTCCCTGCACCACCGACCTCTGGTAGGATGCACTTTTGCCATGTCCTCTGACTCTTCATGTGCTTTCTTGACCTTATTTATAGTCTAGGATGTGAATGTTGCCACACTTATCCTTCTTTACCCCAGTTTCTTTGCTGTAATTTAAGTCTCATTCTAGGGAGAGTTGATAAGCCAGATCTTCTAATAAAAATACTATCAGTAATAGTAATAATGAGCAACAAATAGGCAATGTTGGCCCATTTCCATGGTGTAAATTCTTCCTCTGTGACCAGTTTCAAACTATCAGTGAGAAATCACTGAATCCATAGCAGGGAGGAGCTGCTGCAGCACCTCACTGCTGAAAGAGTACATTCATCCAGTGCTGAACCCTAATTCTGTCTTCTTGCTCATCCATTCATTCAGCCATCATGTAAATATTGAGTGCTTACTCTGTGCCAGGCACTGTGCTAGGCTCCAGAGTTGCCATGATGAGCCCAGTAAGTGTGGCCCCTGCTCATGTGAAGATTACAGCCCCTGGTCTGTCCAAGAATCGTGCAAATACAGTCGAGACTACAGCTGTGACAGGGCCATGGAGGAAGGGCTCCCCGTGTCCCATGCCACAGACTGAGCTGTGTTGCGAGGTCAGAGAGAGCTTCCTTGGGAGAATGGCAGCTAATTAAGACTTCACTGAGCAAGGAAAGAAGGGAAGGAGCTTATGGACCAAGGCTACCAGAGAGTAGTTGTCTTTGAAACCATGTGGCCTACCAAGTGACAAGTGGAATGTGACAACTGAGGTGACAGGGTAGGGAGGTCAGCCTTCTCCTAAAGAAAGAGAACTGTGCACAACCACCTGAGACCAGCTGGAAATGAACTCAGGCCAAGAAGCTAGGGTGCACTGGGCTAATTGCTCTCCTTCCTCACCCCTATGTATGATGCCCAGTTAGGCACAAATGCCATCCAGGCCAGAGACTCCAGAAGCAGGACATGGTGGGACTTGCAGGGACTCAAACCAGGGGCCTAGCTCCAATCACATGACCCACGACCTCGCCCTCCCTCCACCATACCCCATCTTCCAGCCAAGCAAGACCACTCTGCCCTGCAGAGAGCATCGCAGGTATTCGTCAGGAAGGCAGCCATGGCTTCAGCTCAGTTCAGCATTCTCTGGGGAAGAAGGGAGGAAGAAACCTAAAACACTAATTGCACTATTAAGTTTGGGGTAGAAACAATGGGAGTTAATTATAGATGCATTTTTATGCTCTGATCATTCAAAGGGGAACTTCAGACACCTTTTATTCCTTTCTGTTCCTCCCCCTTTAGCTCCAGCTCTCCTGTAGCGTGGGTGGTTTCCCTGATTCTAAAAAATGAATTTACCACCAATAATTCCCAGGTGGGGGTAATTAGCAATTTTTCTACTCTAAAGTTCTGAGTTAGAAGAGGGGGGTTTGCTCAGAAGGGGAGCCTGCCACCCCCACACAAGCGACTGCTTTTGATCCTCCATTTAGCCAGAAAGAGCCCAGACTTGACTTTTAAGGGGCTCAGGGCTTCACTGGGCTGTTTCTTTAAAGTTTATGCCTTCTGTTCATAGGCATTTATTTAGTGCCATCTATATCTCATGCCAAACCCTGGGTCTGCATTGCTGAGTTCCTGCCTTTGTGGACCTACAAACCTCTAAAATACCTTCTGACTCAATACCTCAATAGCTGCAGATTTATTACTGATATATTCTTCCTTTCTCTCCCCCCTCAAGCACACACACGAATGTAAGCCCTTGCCAGCTGTTTCTCCATAACTATGTTCCATGCTGCTCACCATTTATTCAGTTATACATTCAACAAACGTTTCATGAATGAATACATGAATAGTCACCTTTGGGGGCAATGCTTGGCAAACCAAAGTTCTCAGTCAATCAAATAACAAGCTAACCCAACAGCTTTAGCTCATGACCAGCTACCCTAGAGGAATTTAATCAAGGGTCAACTTCAAGTATGCCCAAAGCCATCAAAGATTAAGAGAGTTAGTTCTCTCCTGTTATATTTCATGGCTCATGGTTCTTGACCCAAAGTCCCAGACTGGCATCTTCCCTCCTTCCTACATTTCCCATTTTCCTCTCCACCTTCTCCTCCCCAGAGCTGTCAAGTTTTCTGCCAAGCTGATGGGACAAGCAATGGCCAAGAGGGTCAAGGCTACAATCCTTTATGCCACAGAGACAGGCAAGTCACAAGCCTATGCCAAAACCTTGTGTGAAATCTTCAAACACGCCTTTGATGCCAAGGTGAGTAGGGGACAATGCCAGCTCTCTGGCTTTTCATGGTGGATACACTTGGAAAGGGGAGAGAGGAAAGCCCACAGAGAACTCTGAGAATGGATAAAGGCACTCACATTTGCAGGAATTTCAGGGGGCTAAAATGCCCTTCTCCCATGAACCCTCCCAGAATCACAAAATGAAACCCCCATTTCAAGAGCAAAATGTTAGCAGGCTTATGAAACACCACCTTTCTGGAATCAGAGTGGGTGACCACATTAAATACAGTTCAGTGGGTTTCTTTGCTGCAGGACTTCTCAGAGCCTTAATCTGCAAAAAGAGGAGTGGATAGAATATAAATGTTCCCCAAACATGTTTGTCTGTGGTTCATTCATGTCCAAGAGCATCTTAGGAGGCCAAGATTTCCTCGAATCTACTTTGAGAAATATAGCTTGTGAGGCTACACTATATGGCAGCAGTCTTCCCCTCAGTCTGGAATGGCAGACTTGGTTGGCCCAGAACTGGGTGGCCCAGGTCCCCACGCTGCCAGGTAGAGGATTAGAAAGGTAGTTGAGCCAACTTGATCTGGTCCAGCTGAATCACTCCCAGCCTAAATATGGCAAAAAAAGATTCCAGAGTTGGTGAATTATAAGACCCCAGAGGGTCTCAATCAAGATGTCTCTACTGGCAGCCAACCCTTTAGACCATTGCCCCAAGTTCTCCAGGGTTCCTAAGAGCACAGTAACCATAGAACTACCAAAAAGCTTTGAGTTCTACTGACCCAAGCCCATGGAAACAGAGCCACATCTAATATTTGTTCTTCTTCCAGAGATGACTCTTGCTTTCATTGCCTCTTCTTTCTCCCATCACTTTTTGTTCTCCCCTCATCACCCTCTTTTTTTCCTCTGCCCCCACTATCCCTCCACCCTCTCCCCACTAGGTGATGTCCATGGAAGAATATGACATCGTGCACCTGGAACATGAAACTTTGGTTCTAGTGGTTACAAGCACCTTTGGCAATGGAGACCCCCCTGAGAACGGGGAGGTACGATGAGCTCCCTGCTGGGTTCTCGACAGCGGGAGGGAGGGATGCAGTTGCCCTGTTGTTCAGCAGTGAAGCCTCTGAATCTCAAAGTCAGTGACTTAGATTTGGACCCAAGTTCTGCAGTGATTAGACAGTTCCAAGTCACGTTAGTTTCCACTAGTGAGCCCATCCCCGAGGAGGTCCCCTGAGTGAACTACTTCTTTGGAATGGAAGCTCCAGTCAAGAGCTTGGTCCAGATGAGACAAGTGGGGACAATGTATTTATGGAGAGAAAGCCATGAGGGGTTCTAGGGTGGTCCTGTCCACACCTGGCTGTCCCTTCTGGGTGAATGTGCAGCTCAAGCATTGCTGCCCAGCCTGCGCCCATGGCCATCTCTGATGTCCCGCCTCCCAGGCATCAGGCTCCTCTTTGCCAGCCAGACCCTGAGGCCCCAGTGCTCTGCCCTGTCCCCAGCTGATAACGCGTGCTTTACATTCCGTTCTCTCCACCCCCAGAAATTCGGCTGTGCTCTGATGGAAATGAGACACCCCAACTCCATGCACGAGGAGAGGAAGTAAGTGAATGGCCCTCCAGCATTATGTGGCACTCTCAGGGGTAATGAAAAACTGCCTTGGGCACCTGAGATTCGCATTTGAGTTCCTGCTCTCTACTGTGACCTCAAGCCCACTGGTAGTCAGGTTTACCCCACAGGTGGCTGGCGTTTTGGTCCCTGACTGGGAAGTCTTGACTTGACTTCACTCCAAAACGCTTTACTTTGAAGGTGTGTGCCTCAGTTTCTTTTTCTACACAGAAGGGTTGGTATACCTGATCCAACATTCTAACCTGTCAGAATCAAGCTAGAACTGAGGCGTAAATGCTCTGCGAAGAGTCACACTGCTGTGTAAATCGGTTCTGCTGTCTCCCCTCTTGGGAAACCACATCAAAGTCAGCGAAATGAGCTGCTTCCCTAGAACTTTGCCATCTGCTGCTCGGGGTGGAGTTGCAGCTAACTCAGAGGCTGAGTTCGAGAGCTAAGGCATCAGATGGTGAAAAATACTGGGACTAGGAGGATGTATGTGGTGAAATCACCTCTAATGTGGCTTTTAGAGTTATTTCCTAGCGTAGGAAACACCTGTAATCAAAATTACCCTTGAAAATCCCTTAAATCCTCCCCTAACGCAGCACTTATGGCACGTGCATACTGAGCTCCCTAAAACGAGGCCGAGCAGCGTTGCTGCCAATGGAGCCGAGCCCATGCCTTAAGTTGAGTGTCAGGTGCCAGATTGGCTGGTGCTTAGCGGCCGCATTGTGCAGGAAAGCAGGAAAGCCCTCTTGGTTTTCTTGTAGCCAAACTCGTGTTGCCAAATTCACGTTCGTTCCAAATCCAGAGGAGAGCTGCGTCCATGGGGTCAGCCCTGTGCTGTGCCCCATGCCCGAATCTTGGTCCTCACTCTCCCTGCCCCTCTTCTCCCCCATCCTGGTGACCTCCAGCAGGATCCCCCTGACCCCTCCTTCAGGGAGAGATAGGGCACCATCACTTCTCCCCTCTAGGTACCCGGAACGCTTGCGTTTCTTTCCCCGTAAAGGGCCTCCCCTCCCCCGAAGTGACACCGGAGTGCCTGGTCTGGCTGCAGCCCGCGACAGCCAGCGCAGGTAGAGCGTGGTGTGTGCGTGCCTGGCAGTGGTGAGCGCCAGTCGCATGTGGCTGTGAAGGGCACGTGTGTGCATGCGTGCCCCAGGCTGGGCCGTGCATGGCCACCTCCAGGCTCAAGGACGCCTAAGTTCTGGGCTGGGCCACTAACTCGCTAAGAGCCTTGAGCACTCGCACTTTCTGGGCCTCAGTCTTTCTCATCTGCTAAGTGGGGAGAAACACTGTCTGCACGGACCACCTCTGTTTGCTGATGCACAGACCAAAGGATAATACCCAAGAGGGAAGCATCTGGAAAAACCTCAAACCTCCTAGGAAGAATCCATGTGCTGCTATTTTTACTCCACAGCCATCCACTGTCCCGCCCCCACTAACAGCACAGCCACCCCCTGATATGCTGCGTGTCTTATTTGGAGAAGTGACTCAATGTGAGACTATTTTAGGACAGAAAATACACTTACATATATTTAGAACTTTCCCGATGCTGGAGTGAAAACTTTGAAGAACATCCAGCTTAGAAACCCTGCTGCCAGAATGCGCAATTTCTTTTTTTGTCTTTTGCACTCCAATTTCTGTGTTGAGTTTTTGTGTTTTGTTTTGGAGTTGTTGTTTGGGGTGGGTTTTTTTCTTTTTTTGAGTCTTAGAGTTTTTGTTTTGTTTCCTGATAGTGTTGTTTCGTCTTCTCTGAGAACAAAGCTTACCACTTTTAGAAAAAACCTGGGAAACTGGATTTTTTTTGCCCCCAAGGCCTCTGAGTCTCTAATGAAGTTTGAGAACCCAGGACAGCTTCACAACAATTTCATAAGAAATCCAATCTTTCCACACCATGTTCAGTGCTGAACATTTTTCATGAAACGTAACAGATCCTAAAATTGTCTAAGGACCACAACTTCGTGAAAAGAGAGTGTTGGCTGGGATAGTCCCGCACTGGCCAAAAAGACTCTCCATAATGAAATAAAGTTCTTTATCTGTGCCGTTCAGTGTGAAACACATTGGCCATAGAATGTGTGCTATTGACATGTGGGCAGCACTACTACTTTCCCTTTCAATAGCCTAGAAAGCCCTCCCTGGTAGCACAGAGGGTTAACTCTCAGCACTATGAAGCTATCAGCAGACACTGCAGCATAAGTTTGATCCCCAGCCAGGGAGTGACCCACATGGTACAGCAGACTTCTCCTGTCTCACCCACTGCTCCCCTCAGCAGTGTACTTCAGTCAATCTGCTTGTTCTGCTCCCCACTGTCTCTGGTGAATCCTCTCACTTCCTGGGCCTCTAGCCCACACCCTAGCTTTTGTGTGCATGAATACGTAAAATAAATCTTTTTAAAAAAATAAATGGCTGAGGACAGCACAGATCTAGTTCCTGCCTACTCAAAGTGAGGTCTGGGGCCAGCAGCTTTGGCATCTCTGGGAGCCTGTCAGAGCTTGTCAGTCTCAGATGCTGCCCCAGACCCTCTCAGTCACAATCTGCATCTTAACAAGATTCTTGTATCATCAAAACTCAGGAAGGAAACATGGTGTAATGGTTTTTTGTATTCCCAGCTTCTTGATTAAATCTCAAATGCCCTGAGTTGTATGTGGTCAGTCTTTTTTTTTTTTTTAAGATTTATTTATTTCTCCATACAAGAACTGGGGTATAGGTCAGAGATGCAGGGGCAGTGAGAGGATTCAGCAGAGATAGAGTGGGGAGCAGAACAGAGGAATCTACTGAAATACACTGCTGAGGGGAGCAGTGGGCAGGTCAGAAGTGGTCTGCAGCGCCATGTGGGTCAGCTCCCTGGTTGGGGATTGAACTCGCACTGAGGTAGCTTCACAGAGTGCTGTGCTGTGCTCTAACCTGTTGTGCCACCAGGGAGAGCACCTGGTCAGAAGTCTTTTAAATCCAGATATTACCAAGTATGGAGAGTACATAGCTATCACTGTGATAGTACAAGATATTCTAGAAGAGACCTTGAGAGGGTTTTGGTCTCAAAGTGAAGGACAAAGCCTGGGAACCAGGAGTGGAGATCTAGAGAGTGCGGACCTACAGAGATCAGGAGGGACCTCCAAGCCAGCGCTCATGACTCTCTTTCATTTGGACAGGAGCTACAAGGTCCGGTTCAATAGCGTCTCTTCATATTCTGACTCCCGAAAATCATCAGGTGATGGACCCGACCTCCGAGACAACTTTGAGAGTGCCGGCCCCCTGGCCAATGTGAGGTAAGCAAGAGGCCTTGGGCATCAGGGACCTTGAAGATACTGGAGAGCTATACTCATGGGGGGGTCTTTGTTAGGGGCACTCATCCTTCCATGCCTAATCATCCTTCTAGCCAGCTAATCCTTGGCTGGCTGGGAACCCCCTCCCCGTTAAATACACCACCCACACCCTTCCAGTGGTCATTTCCTATATACACTGTCCAAGACCCCAGTTCCATACACATTGGCCCCATCGGCAGCATCTCACTTGTCCTGCAGGGTCGTAACCCCCTGAAATCACTGAATGAGCCGCCCTCCCCAAGCAATAGGTTTTCCATTGAATAGAAGCTTCTGGTGACACCCTGAGTTGGCCCAGTGGTCCTCAACCCTAGGGGTGCATCAGAATCACTGGAGATATTTGCAGAATACTGATTGCGAAGCCCCACTAGAGATTCTGATTTAAGCTAGAAGTGTGCCCAAGCATTACTTTATTTATTTATTTATTTATTTTTAGCCTTCCCCATCAACTCCCAGTCAAATCGAAAACTGCTAGCCTGGCCCATGTTTTCTAAAGTGTAATGACAAAGCTTGAGATGGTTTTAGGTAACACATGGACAGACATTGTGTGTTCAGTTTTCCAGAAGCTTCTATTCAATGGAAACCCTATCGGTGTTGGGAAGGGATAAAATTAGATTCACACCTTTGGAGTCACAGATAGTGCTGACATAAGTAGAGTGTAGCTTCCTGACCATGGATCTCTCAGGTTTTCACTAACTGAAACTTCTTTGTATTTTCTCAAGGCTGTGCCTATTGCCTAGTGGACCTCACACGATTCCTTTATATTGACGTCCATGGATATACTTTTTTTTTTTTAAAGATTTATTTATTTATTTGTGCATACAGAACTGGGGTACAGGCCAGAGGCTCAGGGGCGGTGAGAGGCTTCACCAGAGACAGAGTGGGGAGCAGAACAGGCAGATCGACGAAGTATTCTGCTGAGGGAAGCAGCGGGCTGGTCAGGAGAGGTCTGGCTCGCCATGTGGTCTCCTCTGGGGCCGGCGGCAGGCGGGAATCGAACTCATGCGGAAGTGGCTTCAGATTCTCAGTGCTGTGCTTTAACCCACTGCGCCACCAGGGAGGGCCCCATGGATATACTTTTTAATACTTTATTTTTTAGGCAGTTCTAGGTTAACAGCAAAATATCAAGAAGGTGAAAGATTTCCCACATACTCCTTGCCCCCCACACACACATATGCACGTCGACATCCCTCACCACAGTGGTCCACTTTCATAGTTGTTGGGCCTCATTTGGCATGTTATTGTCACAAAGTGACTATTGTTCTGTTAGGGTTCACTCCACATTCTGTGGAGTTTGATATCAGGACATATTTTTAGCTTAGCATTGAAACATCAGTTCAGTAATGTGATAAGCCCTTCCCCCCTTATTAATTCTGTCATGTTTTAGGGCAGGCATTGGCAAACTATCACCCATGGGCCAAATTCAGACTAGTCACTAAATACTTTTGTATGATCTATGAGCTAAGAATGTTTTTTTTTCAGATGAACATTTTGCAATTAATTTGATGATGGAAAGCTTTACCTCTGAATTCCAATTAAGCAAATTGCTGCGCCCGCTCAAAATAATTTCATTCTTCTTATAGACATGTATTACTAAAAACCATCCTACTCAACATCTATAATAACATTATTATATTTTTAATTCTGCCAGTAGAATTGAAAAAGTTACAGGGATGTGTGTTATTTCTTCACAACAGCTTTGTGATAATTTCTTAACCATAATAATGATAATTTCTTCCTAATACTAGCTTTGATTTTCTTTCTTGGCTTACAAGCCAAAAATATTTATATATGGCCTTATATATAATAAGTCTGTCAACTCCTCATTTGTAGGTTTCATAGAGGAATTTTTAATAAATCCTAAGGTAAAGACTGTGATGGAAATGTGAGTCCAGTAAGTGACCAAAATACAATTTTAGGTGCTTTGGGATAATATCCAAGCCATCTACTAGTCAACACAAGTTAAACCCAAGTTAAATGGTGTTCATTAGCTTCTTAGTAAACAGCCATACCGTGGGCATCAGACACGGCAAACCAAAGTTGGCAGTCTGGGGCACACACCACAACCACAGACATTACCAGTACTAGAAGTTTCCAAATTCAGGTGAGGCTAAGTTTTCAAGGAGTGGCTTGGGGTAGAAGGCCTCCTTCCTGGCACCCCAGCTTGTCTACTCCTGGCCACCTGCTTGCTCTACCTGTCAGGCCACTGTCCTATGATGAAAAAGCGAGATATCCAGCCCCAGGAAGAGCATGAGTGAAGGTGAGCCCCATACTTCCAGTGGAAAGGCTTTAGAGCCTCAGGGAAAGGAAGGCAGGAAATGTGAGAACACATGGATGTGGGTTTGAAAGGTGTGTATATTAATCTGTTAGCCTTTATTTCAACTGTGACATTCCTGGGTCCATCTCAAGTTCATTCTCCAGTGATGTAAAGATGCTTCCCCTCTTTCCCCATCTCCATCTCTGGCTTTTACCTTCTTGGTCCCTCCTCCTATAAAAGACTCAGGAGCAGAGCCAGACCCTGTGTGGACAAGGATAAACAGCTTCGCTCCCTGGCTTGTCTGTGACGAGACTACAGCAAAACACTCTGGCCTGGGAAACAAGGGGGCGTGGAGTGTTCTTGTCCCAACTGTGAACCCACTGCTCCAGAATAGGAGTCAAGAGCACTGCCAGGACCAAGCCCTGAGACAGCGTGACATACAGTGTAGGACCAAGAACTAACCAGAGGGGCCATGAGGAACACAGCCCTCCACTACTCCACCTGAACAGAGAGAAGAATCTCATTAACCCAATCCCCCAGTGCACCCACATTTTCTTGGTGGAAATCTGTGCAAAGAGGGCTTGTGAGCAAATTAATTTCACAGGCATGGCAAGGGGTAGAGCCAGCACGTTTATCCACCGTTCACCCCTTTCAGATAAATCGGTTGACATATCGACTGTCAATGTGCTAAAGACAAGCACTCCTGATCTCATTCATTCATTCATACAGGTCCCCCAGGACTGTTCTGTTAGTCTTCATTTTCTTTGTACTTAAGAAGAGTCTAGTCATGTTCCTTGTAGGGTCGAAGCCTTCCATCAACAGTGTCATTTCTGTAATTGGTCCAGCTTAGAGGATACAGTCAACTGGCCCACTGGGTCATTATCCCCTACTTGTCCCCCTTAAGGCCAATTGAGAATTTTTGACTCAGGATGATAATACAGGAGGAAAGGACAGAAGGCCTCGGGGGCCCATCAGGTTAAAGATGGCCTTGCACATATGGGCTTGGGATAGCCTTACCACCATGGGCTAAAGGATGTCCTTCTGGAGATACCAGGTGGATCAGCCTGTTCCAGTGAGCATAAATACCACAGCTTGGGGCTTTGAGAGAGATGTTTGTTTTCTCATGGTCTGGAGGTGAGAAGTCTGCAGTCACGGTGCCAATGGGGGTGTTTCTCCCATCCTTGTTTGCACATTGACGCCCTTCTCACTGTGTCCTCACATGGTCTCACACTGTGCACACATAAGGGTAGAGAGGGAGTCTCCTCCTCTTCTTATAAATACCCAGTCCTACACAGCTAGGTCCTGCTTTATGATCTCATTTAACCTTTACTACCTCCTTAAAAGACCCTATCTCCAAATCCACTTACATTGGGAGAGGGCAGGGTTAGGGCTTCAACAGATTGCTGTGGAGAAGACATAGTTCAGTCCATGACACTGGACAGTGTCCCCTCCACTCCTCCACAACCTCCCCAACCCCCCACTCCCACCCCCCCACACACACACTAACATGGTTCCCCAGCATGGAGCTTTTGTTGTCTCCTTGTCAGGTTCTCGGTGTTTGGCCTTGGCTCGCGGGCATATCCTCACTTCTGCGCCTTTGGACATGCTGTGGACACCCTCCTGGAAGAGTTGGGAGGAGAGAGGATCCTGAAGATGAGGGAGGGGGATGAGCTCTGTGGGCAGGAAGAGGCTTTCAGGACCTGGGCCAAGAAGGTCTTCAAGGTAACTGTCTGCCAGGATCTCAAAGAACCAAGAGAAGTAATACCCCCCAAGACCCCCCAAAATGGAGTACCTGAACCATCAGAAATAGAAGAAACTTGAGAGAACCCCTGGAAGTCTCATATGTAATCAGCCAGAACACAACTTTAAACAGCCCAGATGAGTTTGGGTAGTCTTAGACATTTTCTACCCAGAATCTAACCTACTGCATTATGGGTCAGGTCTATAACTACAGTCTTGAAATTTCAGAGCTATGAGGAATCCATCCCTCACACACATCTGGTAGTTAAATACCCCCAAATATAGTTGATTAATCAAACCAGAGAGCCAAGACCCAAGCTGGGCCTCAAACTTGTCTACCTTGTCTACCAACTTGCCTACTTTGACACGCTTTTTTTTTTCCTCTGACAGAGCCTGTAACCACATCTGAACTATTAAAATTGAAATGTAAACTAATTAACATTAAATACAATGAGTGGAGAAATAAAACGTAGCATATGCCCACAGTGGAAGACTATCAGCAGTAAAAAGGAACAAAGAGCTGGTCAGGTTACAACATGTAACCAGCATTGCTAAGTTACAATACTGTTGGGTAAAAGAACTGAACATAAAAGACCACCTGTTGTAGGACTCCATTTCTTTTTTTTAAATAAGATTTATTTATGTATGCATACAGAACTGGGGTACAGGCCAGAGGTGCAGGAAGGTGAGATTCAGAAACATAGTGGGGAGCAGAACAGGCAGATGGGCTGAAATACACTGCTGAGGGGAGCAGCAGATGGGTCAGGAGAGGTCGCCACGCCAGGTGGGTCAGCTCCCTGGCTGGGGATCAAACTCGTGCTGCAGTGGCTGTGATAGCTTCATGGTACTGTGCTTTAGCCCACTGTGCCACTAAGGAGGGCCCTGTAGGACTCCATTTCTATGAAACATCCAGAACAAGCCAATGTATAGAGACAGAAAGTAGATGTATGGTTGCCTGTGGTTCAGGAGAATGGAAAATGGATATCTGTTAATGGGTCCATCGTTTCTTTAGGAATAATGAAAACTTTCTGAAAAACTAGTTAGCAGTGGTGGTTATACAACCTTGTAAATATCCTAAAAACACTGAATTATACCTTTTGAAATGTCAGGTTTTATATTAATTGTGTACATCTATATTTGTATAAAATGCTTAAATTTTTAAAAGTATTCAGTTAATATCCAAAATTGTCTCAGAATTAAGAACTTCATTCCTGGCTGCACCAGCCATGTTTACATACTCATAGCCTAAGTGGCCCGTGATTACTATATGAAGCAGCACAGACCATTCCCATAGGGGTAGAGCATCCTGTTGGACAGTATTATTCCAGGTCTGCAGCCACAGAGAATACATGGGCAGTGACCTTTGGTCTGCACGTGGGGCATGACCCCAGTGGCCATCCTGGGAAAAACAGAACCAATGACTGAACCCAGCTCTGCCTGCCCCTTCTTCTGCCCTGGGGTGTATTCCCATCACAGTCCCTGGAGAAAGGGGACTGACTGTGCAACCCACTGTCCTTTAGTTGACACTTTTCATCCTACATGCAAATGCAGGTGGGGTACAAAAGGGGATACTGATACCCATGAGCCATAGGGACATCTGGATGAGGAGGCTGTATCCATAAAACTGTTCCTGTTTTAATTCTGGGATGTGTAGAGAGATTTGGCTTTTCTTATACCTTGAGATAACTGTTGGATCTTAGCTTGAGTCAGCCACCTTTATTGAACAGCCCAGAAACAGAACTGTAACAGAACACCTGGCCTTTAGCTATCACTCCCCTGGCCTTATACCCCACCCCCCAACCCCAGCAACCACTAATCTACTTTCTTTATCTATATTTTTGCCTTTCCTGGGCATTTCCAGTAGAGGAATGGCATCACACATAGTCTTTTGGAACTAACTCCTTTTACTTTCACATGTGTTCAAGATTCATATGAAGCACATATCAATACTTCATTCCTTTTTCATGGCCAAACGATAGTCCACGGTGTGGATATACCACATTTTGTTTATCCACTTATTAACTGGTAGACATTTGTCTTAAAATCAAGATGAAGTAAAAATGGTAAAAACCTACCCTTGAAAACCTTTGACTTATTCATGGCTTTCATCTCAGAAAATAATTCTGAACAAAAATCCACAGGATCACTAAAGTTAGAGAACTTATAAACTTGGGAAAAGTAACAGAAACAAAAGGAAATGTATATGCAGTTATCTACATTTGATATATCCTACCTTTAATAGAATTTGCAAAACCTTTAGAGGCAGATGGATAGAAAATTCTACTGTCTGGTTTAATGTTAAGCTTTAATACATGTTGGTTTTAGGAATAAAGAACACAGAGTTACTTGTTAAAGAGGGATGAAGTTCCAACGTCGGTAGTAAATCTGATGTGTCTGGCATATTGAAGGCATTCAAAAACTATAGATGGATTAATGGGTGAAATGATGGATGAGGGGTGGGTGAAGGGGCGGAAGGATGAATGGATTAGTGGGTAGGTGGACGATGGGTGGACAGGTGGGTGGGTAGAGAGATGCCTGCTATGACTTGGAGCTTTGGGGATGGAATCCCTCTTGGCTGGAAGGGGTCACTGAACGCCCTGTGTGTGCCATAGGCAGCCTGTGATGTGTTCTGCGTGGGGGATGATGTCAATATTGAGAAAGCGAACAACTCCCTCATCAGCAACGACCGCAGCTGGAAGAGGAACAAATTCCGACTCACCTATGTGGCTGAAGCTCCAGAACTCACACAAGGTACTTCTCACCAGCCTCCTGGGGAGGCGTTCATGATGCTGGGGGGGAACGGAGCTCTCACCTTCAAAAGGTGCTTAGCAGGTGGGTCTGATGGCTTTGTCCTCCCTTTAGTACAGTCCCCCCAAAGTGGACAAAGCATTCCTGCCCATGCCCAGTAAAGCCCTTGCCCAGTAGAGCCCGTGCTCAGACTTTTGTCCCTCCAGTAGTATGACATGAGGCCATCACCAGCTTCTCAACCAAGTACAAGCAGATTTGCTTTTTGTTCTCTATTCTCCTCAGCCACCCCAGCCGGCCCCGATGCCTGCCCAGCCTCATCTCCTTGATCTCTTCACTTTACCCCAGAGGATAGTGAGAGGAGAGTGTCACTGGAAGCTGGAAACTTTACACTGACAACTGTTGCTGTTCTCCCCACAGGTCTGTCCAATGTCCACAAAAAGCGGGTCTCAGCTGCTCGACTCCTCAGCCGTCAAAACCTTCAGAGCCCTAACTCCAGGTAGGAACACCCTGGTTACTCAGAGTGGCCCACCGTGCCACCGATGGCACTGACGAGAAGGGAGGACACTGGTGACTCCCAGAACCGGCTTCCTGTTTCCCAGCCATCCCAAGTGGCATGAAGACCCTAGTTGCTTTGTGGGGTCTTCCTGCTGTCCCTTTGTTGAGGTCCCACCGGCAGGGACAGGAGCAGGAGACCATGACAGCGGCTGTGCAAAGAGCAAAGTGGAAGGTTTCATGAGGCCTTGTGAGTGTGGACCTGCCCCTGCAGACCTGCTCACCTTCACTGCACCTTCATGAGAGGCCACTTCATCCTGGCATTTCCTCACTGCAGATAGTTCTGTGTGATGTGCTGAGAAATCACTGCCTGCACTCTGCTTACATCCTGTGGGATGACGGTAGAGTCCTTTCCCAAGACAGCCTTCCCTGTTTTGTAAGTCCAGGTTGTTAGAAATGATCTTACTGTGATTTGTGGCATGACATAACACAAAAAGTAGGTTCTCAAGCATGATACTACTGATTTTTTTTAAGATTTATTTATTTATGTATACAGAACTGGGGTACAGGCCAGAGGTGCAGGGTGTGAGAGGATTCACCAGAGACAGAGTGGGGAGTAGAACAGGCAGATCGACAAAGTACATTGCTGAGGGGAGCAGCGGGCAGGTCAGGAGAGGTCTGCCACGCCATGTGGGTCAGCTCCAGGGCCAGGGATCGAACTCACACTGAAGCAGCTACAGCTACCTTGCAGTGCTGCACTTTAACCCCTGTGCCACCAGGGAGGGCCACATGTCCCTGATTTCTGACCCCAATTCTGCCCCACACCAGTGGTGTAACCTTGGTCAAGTCCCTCAGGTCCTTTAAGCCCCTTCTTCTCAGTTGCTATATGCACTGCTAATGTCGTTCTTGAGCTTTCTTGACCATTGTTTTGAGGCCTGTCTGTGCAGGATCTGTCATCTGATCCACCCACAAAGCAGCCACCATTACTGTGCTCATTTTGGGTGTGAAAGGTGACAACTGGAAAATTCTAGTGACTTCTAGGTCAAATGGCTCGTGGCTTCAACAGCACTGCAAGGCTGCTGTGGGTTTCAGGATGACAGTCACAAAGCAAGTCGCATGGCATCTGTCCCCATCCCAGTGGCTTATTCACCCAGCATACATTTGTACATGTAGTATGGCACTTTCCACGTGGACTTCACACGTGCCAGCAGGTCGGACTGTTCTATCCTCAGACACTATAGAAATGAACTGAGAAGTGAATCCATCTGAATAATTAGTTAAGTGCTACATTCAGAGGATAACCCTCTGACATCAGAGGTGCTCTGTATTTCCCCTCCTATTTCTGTCCTGTAGAAATGACTCAAATAGCACTAGAAAAAAATGAATTAAGAATCTACTGGAAATTTCTTTCAGCAACAAATTTTGAAACCCCAGATCACAAAATCTACTCCCTAAGCTACAGTATGGAAAAAGCAAGGGCATTTACAAGTGTCTTTGAAGCTAAGTTGGACCAAGACCCACAATAGCCCTTGCCCACCTCCAGAAAGGGCAGCTGAACTCTTTGCTAAGTGACTTACAAAAGAATATTTCAACAAGATTAGGAACTGAAGGTAGCATTAAAATCAGCTATGGATTAGCACAGAAAGGTGTTTATCTCTGAAAGCATTAACCTCCTGTTTTGGGGCTTAAGATCATTTCCGGCTTTATGTGGTTCATTTTTTTTTTTAAGAAAAGGGATAATGAGTTGAAAAAGCATGAAACTCTCTCCTGTCTTCTCCTGCCCAAGGCCAAAGTCAAAACTGCTTGGCCCAGGAGCTCATAAGCAAGGTATCACAATGCCTCCCCCCACCTTAATTGCAAGCAAAATGCCTCAAAGTGCAAAGAGGGTGATCTTTTGCCAATATAAAGAGAAAGGTAACCCCAGCTACTGCCACGGTAAGAACTCATTTCTGCATGTACCAATCAGCAACCAGTGCAGAAGCATGTATATTGGGGTGCTAAGGGGTATAGTATAGAAGTCAGAGGAGGATGGGGAAGCAGGGTTTGAGATGATCCCTGAAAAGGTAGGCTTGGCACTGGCAAGCGAGAAGGAGAGGATCGTGTGAAAAGAGGGTGACAGGCATCTCGGGACAGAGCACCCAAGGTTGGGGCACCTTCAACGGAGAGTTCCTGCTGGAGACTGTTGACACTCACCTCCCCTCTGATTAAACCGCTTCTCTCCAGCCTTCTGTATCGAAACAGGGTCCATCGACACTTGATTCCAGGGTCCTCTAGCCTCTCCCTCACTCTGCTCATCCAGTGCACCTGGACTTTGAAGTATACCTCGTATCTACCACTGCCCCCTCGAGTAAAGCGAGGATCACCCCCGGTTGGGGTTACCGCAACAGATGTCTCACTTGTCTTCTTGTTTCTTGGCTTTTCACTCAAAGATCCATTTTCTAAAACAGCCAGAATAACCCTTTAAAAACACAAACACAAGCGTATCACATCCTCCAACGACTTCCCGATGGTCTGAGGGAAGCCCCCTCTCCAGTGACGGGTCATGCCAAGGCCTGTGCAAACATGCCCCACATTTTCCTGCCTCAGGCCCTTTGCATGTGCGCTCTCTGCCTAGGAACTCTTCCCCAGATCTTCGCCCACTGGCTCTTTTTCACTGTCTTAGTTCAAACAGCAAATTACAAGAGGCGTCCCTGACTGCCCTATCTGATAGTCACTTAGCCCCGAGCCGTGACCAGCCATCCGCATCAGCCCCGTCTGAGAGTCTCCAAAGTGATTTCCCAATGAAGCAGGCGCCATGCTCTTTCCCGCCACTCACACCAGAGCCAGAACCGTGTGACACCCACTGCAAATGTGTTGGATGAATGCACCTTATTAGCTCGAAACTGCTCACAACTGACACTTTTCACTGAAGAGCAAACATTAATTATTTTTTTTCACTTAATGCTGGGCATTAGCATTTTATCTGTGAAATTGTCACTGAACCTCAGCCAAGCAGACACACGTATGTGTTATGCTTCTGTATGTGTCCACAAATATTTCAAAGTAGGGGATACCTTGAGGGAGAAGTAGATGGGACCCCAACGACAGCAGACACCCTAGTGTCATCCTCTCTTCCTCCTTCGGTATTTATGTCCCAAGCTTTAAAAAAAAAAAAAAACTTAGAAGATCCTGTAATACTTAGAATCCCCCAGCAGAACTGATATTTCAGGTATTTTGTCTCCAGGCTGGTTGTATCCACAGGTGATCGGCTTCCCCAGCATAGCCTCAAGGGCCAACCCACCAAGAGGCGGTAGGGCCCCACAGTCATTCAGTGCTGGGGTGCTCAGCAAGCCATGCCTGGGCCCGGCCTTGCAAAGTTCCCAGGGTTAAATTCTTGCAAAGTTCCCAGGGTTAAATTCGCAGCCCAGTCTGGGCCCACGTTCTAGCTGGCAGCATCCTCCTCCCTGCCCCTTATCAGCGCGGCCACATTCTGTGTGGTTCAGGAGGACTTGGGGAAGTGGCTGTGAGCGTGAGCCAGCTCAGCAAGTTCAGGTTCTCCGCATTTCTATTTTGTACCGGCCGAAAGAACGGAGGCAAATTTACTTCTGAAAGAAATCGTGATGATCTAGGAGAAAGTGGGGATTGATTTGCGGGCCTTTCAAAGGCTGCCTGTGGTTGACGCAGAGGCGCCCAGATTAGCGGCCCCACAGCGCCCCCTGCTGGCTGCTGGCCTCTAGGGGGAGGTGGCGGAGCTCCAGGAACCAGAAAACTGGTGTGAGCTCACAGCCGACTCAGACGTTCATTCAACAAAATGAGTGCCCAGAGAGGGCAAAATCTTTCCAGGGGAGGAGAGTGGGACCCCAGACTGGAACACTGCCCTTCACAATCTCAGTCACCAAATTCCTCACCACGCTAAGGATAGAGCGCCTTGTTTCAAGGAAATACTTGACACCCCAAAAAAACAAATGTGCCAGCACAACTATTTTTAATAATGGTGGCTATTTGCAGCACAAAGAAGCTCTTGGTTGAGCCAAACACTTCTTTAAATAGCGAGCCCCATTGGTCTATTCAAAGTGTTGATTTACATACCCTGAAGGATGTAGAAACTTCTAGTGGAATAAATATCAAGTGTCCCTGTCAACTAAACCAGTTGGCCGTGAAGGAAAAGCAGATCTGGAATGTAGAAGTAACTCCAAGAGCACAGAGGGTTGGATGGAATGAGGAGTGGTCGGTCCCAACGTTGCTAGAGGTCTTGCATATCTGTGCTGGGACTTTCAAAGGACCGTCCAAACAACCAGGTCCTGAGATGTAGTCCTCAGCCAGCCGTTCCTTTGGTCCAGGCCTCCTACACCCGAAAAACAGAAATCAATGCAAAAGGCGTGAGCCTCCATCCATAAACAAGTTTCCTCCGGGTTCTCTGTCCAGGTAGCTCAGTGTCTCCATTTTGGCATATTTGTAAATAATAAGAGCCCAAGCTTAAAGCCAAGTTTGCTTCCCTTTCCCACACCACATGAGGACTCCGGTTACAAAAGGGGGGCAGAGCATGGGGTTTCCTCAAAGCGATGGAATTTCGCAAACTGGGGACTCCGCTCCTGCTGTGGCCCCAAAGGGGTTGCTAAGAATCTGATTGGTACTGAGATCAGCCTGTGCTGGCAGCTGGTTAATCCTGGGGGGCTGAGGTTCCTTCATTCAGTTACTATTTCTTGAGCACCTACTATGTGCCATGCAGTGTGCTAAGTGCCAGGAATAGGGCATGGGCTGGGGGGAGAATCCTTGCTGTCCAATTTACATTGTCCTGGGGCCTGGCAGGGGCAGACCGCAATACGTACAACAAAGTCAGCAACCCTCAGGTCCGATGATGGCAGGTGTGACGGACCAAATTGAAACAGGGACAGGATGAGAGAAACGCAGAGAGATCTGGACTGAGCACGGGTACTCCCATGTAGTGAAAGGAGAAGGAACCGGGCCACGCAGGAGAGCTGGTGCTAGAATCCAAGGGCAGCGCAGAGGCAGAGGAAGTGAGTAGGCATGTTAGTGCTCTCCCATGCTCAGGGGAAGCCCCGAGCTGGAGCGGGATGCAGGATTTGCAATGCGGAGCTCAGCGGTGCTTCCCTAAAAGCTGGGGTGTGGAATGAAAGGGCAGAGTCCTGTTGGCATGGCAGGTGGGTGGGGAATTGCAGCCACAGGACAAAGGGGCAAAGGGGTTGGCAGCTGGTGGCCCTGTCCTGATTGTGCCTGCGCCCCTCCAGCCGGTCCACCATCTTCGTGCGTCTCCACACCAATGGGAATCAGGAGCTGCTCTACCAGCCTGGGGACCACCTGGGCGTCTTCCCCGGCAACCACGAGGACCTGGTGAATGCCCTGATCGAGCGTCTGGAGGATGCACCCCCTGTCAACCAGCTGGTGAAGGTGGAGCTGCTGGAGGAACGGAACACGGCTTTGGGTAACTACCGTGGGTCAGGCACCCCATCTCTAGCCCCTCCCCGGCCTGGCCCCTCCAGGGGAGTTCCTGAGACGGTGTGTGTCTGGGAAAGAGGAGACTGGTCTTCCCAGTCACCAGTCCAGGTAGGAGAGTGGGTTTCTCACCGCCAGCTCGTGAGACTGCAGACACCCCCTTTCTCACGGCTGAACCACGGCGGCGCAACCAGCTGAGCGAACATTGATGAGCCACCAGTGCAAGAGACGACTTCGCCTTCCTGCAGGCTCACAAGCTGGCAGCGAGAAACCCACTCTAGCTAGAAGCGGGGTTAGCAGAGTCCACTTTGCTCTCTGCCTTCCTGGCCAGACCCCACCACCCACTGAGCAAACAGCCCCTGGCTTCTGCCCCTGCTCCCCACTCCAAATCAGAAGGCTCTGTGTGGAGCCCCATATCTGACCTCATTAGAACAAGGTCCAACCTGTTCAGTGACCGTCCCAGTACCCCCACTGGAGAACTGTCAAAGGCAAATGGGCCTCAGTGCTTCATCTCAGTAGGTGCAGGTGAGCTCAGGGCTCAGGTACAGGGAACTTCAGGGTCCTACCTGGCAGCTTGTGAGGTGGTGCATATCACCTTTACAAAGTTCAGGTCAGGGATGGAGTCAAAGCCCCATGGACAACCCTTAGGAAGGCGCCGCTTTGGAGACTCGCCTTCCACTAACACATGCAACCTCTACCTCCCTGCTTGGAGTTCTTTCTACACTGGGTTGAGTCCCTGATGAAGCGGCGCCTTCACAGAGTTGTCCAGCAGATGGCAGCCTGGAGCAGAGGCAGCCATATTCCAGTTGGTTGGCTGGTCCATTTTGGCTGGTCCTGACTGTCTCCCCTCTAAGGCCTGATGGAACAAGAGTGCCCTGCTGAGTCTTGGAGTTCTCTGGTGTGGTGGATGAAGGAGGGGCACTCAGAGGCTAACTTGAATGAGAGCACAGCAGCAGCACCGTAAAGTGAGCAAGTTCTGATTCACACATATGAGCTGTGTGACCTTGGGCAAACTCCTTAACCGCTCTGTGCTTCCATTTTTCTCAGCCACAGTGGGGAGGAGGATAATAGCCCCCACCTCCTAGGATTATAGTGAGGATTAAATAAGTATAACTACATAGAAAATATGTCTATGAGGATAAATACATCGAATGTAAAGTGCTGCAGATAGTCATTGGTATACAGAACGTGCTGGATAAGTGGCCGGCATGTTTGTAATTTTAAACACTAGAACCCCACTCAGAGGGGAGAGGGGCTGACACCACGAGAGGACAGATGGAGCCAAAACAGTCTCACAGCTCCTGCTCGGTTGGCAGCTCACTGTGTAGAAAGCTAGGAGACTCGTGCTATTTTAATTTCTGTTTGTTGTTTTGATTTTTGGACTAATTTGCGCAGCTGACTTTGGACATGCTGCTTGTACACATGAGATAGTGACACAGCCCCCAGTGTGAGTGTAGAAGCTGGTCATGGAAGATGGACCCCAAGGGGCCGCTTGGCTCCGGGCCAGACCTGCTCCCTGGCCCTGTCCTCTGCCCTCGGGGCTCAGACTCTTCCCCTCACCCCACTTATGCCTCCATAGGCGTAATCAGTAACTGGACGGACGAGCACCGCCTCCCGCCCTGCACCATCTTCCAGGCCTTCAAGTACTACCTGGACATCACCACACCGCCCACGCCCCTGCAGCTGCAACAGTTTGCCTCCCTGGCCACCAGCGAGAAGGAGAAGCAGCGTCTGCTGGTCCTTAGCAAGGTGGGTGGGTGGCCCGAGCAGTCAGGGGCCACCTTTCCCAGTCATTGCACACTTGTGTTGTTCTTACAACAGAGTCCAGCAGATGGCAGCCTGGAGCAAAGGCGGCCAGATTCCAGTGGGTTGGCTGGCCCTGAGCATCTCCCCTCGAAGGCCTGATGGAGCAAGACTACCCCGCTGAGTCTCAAAGTTCTCTGGTGCAGTGGAAACAGATCTTCAGACTTTTCCCTCCGCACTTCAGAACCTTTGAGCTTCCATTAATCCTGTCTCTACACTTGCTTAGAAGAAACAGAAAAGGAGAGAGCCCTGGGCACGCTGCCTCAAAGATAAGCCTTTTCTGGTGCAGAGGAGCTGAGGTATAGGAGGCTGACAGTCAAGTGAACCGAACAGCCTCTGCACCCCTTGCTTACAAGCCCAGCTGGCCCCCAAGCTGCTGCTAAGCCTCGCTCAGTAAGAAGCTGACCCAAGAAGGCCCCCCCGGCTTCTCCCAGGGGGCCCCATGCCTCATCTATGATGTAGGGGTTACTCTAGTACTTGTTCCATAAGCTCCTGGCAGGAATTAAAGCCCGGCCCGGACGCCTCACCATGTGAGCGTTCTCGGTGATGCTTGAGAAGTGGCCGCAGGAGCCGGCTGTAAGTGTCCCTCTGCTCCCCTCCTTGGCGCAGGGTTTGCAGGAGTATGAGGAGTGGAAATGGGGCAAGAACCCCACCATCGTGGAGGCGCTGGAGGAGTTCCCGTCCGTCCAGATGCCCGCCACGCTGCTGCTGACCCAGCTGTCCCTCCTGCAGCCTCGCTACTACTCCATCAGCTCCTCCCCAGACATGTACCCCGACGAGGTGCACCTGACCGTGGCCGTTGTCTCCTACCGCACCGGAGGTGGGCAGAGGCACCGGACAGCCTCTGGGTCTGCATTCCCCGCCCTGCACCCCGGGCCCACTGCCATCTGCTGAAACCCCAACCCCCAAGCCAGGGAAGCCGGGGGAGAGCAGAGCAGACGCGCCGTGCCTGTAAGCAGGGCCAGCCCCGGGCAGAAGTCCGAAGGGTGCAAGATGTGCCTCTGAGGCCTCCGACTCCCAAAGCCTGGCACCCCTTTTGGTGCCCCTCGCCCCCTCACTCCCCAAGCCCGCAGCTGGAGCAGTGCACCCTCCTCCTCCGAGGGTGGCTGCCGCACGCGGTCCAGCCGCTGTGGGCCAGCCAGCTACCCCGACCCTGCTTGTGTATTTCTCCCTCTGGTGGAGCAGTTAAACATGCCCACGGGCAGGGAGACGGGCCCGGGCTCACCTGGCCATCCCGTGGGTGGGCGGGCTTTGAGTCTGACCTGCCCCTACCCAGCAGCACCCCGGGCGGTTGTTCAGCCAGGAGCTCAGCCAAGCTGGGCCCTTTCTCCTCCCCTTCAGAGCCGCTTCGGGGCAGAGTGGCTGCGGTCGGTGTGAGCCTCCCGCCCCAGAGGGAAGGGGGAGGCCAGTGACAGGGCGGCTGGGGTGGTGGGCAACTCCGACCACCTCTCATCCTGCTAGATGGAGACGGACCCGTGCACCACGGTGTGTGCTCCTCCTGGCTCAACCGCATCCAGGCTGACGAGGGCGTGCCCTGTTTCGTGCGAGGGTGAGTGCCAACGAAGAGGAGTGAGCAGCGCCCCATATCTGCTTGCAGAGGTCAGGAGGTGGGTTGGGCGCAGTCTGAGGGTTCTAGAAAAGTGGCTGAGGCAGAGGGCATTGACAGCCATGGCCCGGACTCGCCCGAGGTGTCGGGACAGGGGGCCGCAGCAGCAGTGAGCCGCCCTAGCCAGCACCCAGCCAGGCCGCAGTCACCGAGGGTCTGCCCTGCGCTGGAGGCCGGCGCCGCGGTAAGAACCAGAGAGGGTCCCCGGCTGCCCACTGTGCCAGTTCTCAGAGTGGGGCACCGCCCCTCCTCCGCCGGCACTCACTGCACTGTATCATGCGCTCCGGTCTTGTTCAGAGGCTTCGGTCTCCTGTGAGCTGTTCCCACCAGCATCGCTCACTGTAACTGTAATGTGCTAAACGGAGACCACGTCTGAGCAGAGGCCCACAGTAGGTCCCCACTTTCCGAGGCAGCAACTCGCCCCACCGTTCCTGCCAGCGACAAGAGTGGAAGGTTCTCGGAATGGCCCTGCACCGTAGGCATCAGATTCCCTGGGTGCCTCTGAAATGCCGTCCTGAGCCCAGACTCCCTGCACTGTCCAGACATCTGCACCCTTCTCACACCCAGGCTTGTGCACATCGTGACCCTCGTGGGTGATTAAGTCATTGTTCTCAACCAGGGGTGATTGGCAATGTCGGGAGACAGTTTGGACTGTCACAGCTGGAGGTTACAGGCCAGGGTGCTGCTCCGTACCCTGTGGTACGCAGGACGGCGCCCCTATGTGAGAAAGATGCATCCCCCCGACCCGTGTCACGGTGGGGCGGGAGGCGACACTGAGCTCAGTGGTCCCTCTGCCTCTGTGGCTCCGCCCAGCAAGAAGGGAAGCTGAAGATGGAGCCATAGCTAGACCTGAGGGCCTTCTGCTTTGAAGTTTCCCAGACCTACAGACCCACCCCCGCGGCAGGGTTGCCGTGCCCCAGCGAAAGAGCCAGATCCCACTGTATTTCAGCCCAAGATCACCAGCGGTCTAAGGCTGTTCTTGAACAGCCGGGAACTCAGCAGGCTTTGTGACTCTCTCTTCCCGGTCTAGCGCGCCCAGCTTCCGTCTGCCCCGAAACCCCCAAGTGCCGTGCATCCTGGTCGGCCCGGGCACGGGCATTGCCCCTTTCCGAAGCTTCTGGCAGCAGCGGCAGTTTGATATCCAACACAAAGGTGGGTTGCAGCCCCGCAGCCAGGAGACTCCACCACCTACATCCGGAAACCCCGCCCCGTGCATGAGCGCAGGAGGACCGATGGGGCCCGCCCGGGGTGGGGGGTGAGGGCGGCGCAGGGATTGCCGCGGAAGCGTAGGGACCCCACCGTCGGTGACGTTTGTGGTGTGACTCAGAGGACCCCCCAGACGCAGCCGATGGACAGGCTACGCAGCTGGACAGGCCGCGCAGGCCGAGGCCTGACAGTGCCCCCCACCCACAAGACGTTTCCTCGATGGTTAAGACGGGAGCCCGGGACAAATCCCAGCAGCCCTCGAAGGGGGTGGGCGCCGAGCCGCGTCAGACTGACGCGTTGGTGGCCCCAAACCAGGCTGTCATCAGGGGCAGGTTTACCGGGTGAGACGCAGCAGCTCAGCTTGGGGAGGAGGGCGAGAAGCCACGCACACCCCCGAGGGGCTTCTGGCATCTAACAAACGTCAGGTACCATCGTAGGCGCTGGAGGCTGCAGTGAGCCAGACAGAGAAACAGCTGTAAGGAGCACGGGGACCATGGTGCGGGGTGAAGGGGTGGTGGGAACTCCCCCGGGAAGTCATGCACTGTGGAAAATGAAGGATGACATAATAAATATGTTTTTTAAATAGATTTTAAAATATCTCTACAAGAGATGTAAATATTATCATGAACCCAAATAAGTACTTCTATATTGAAAAAAAAAAACAACCCTGCCTTGTGGAACTGCTGTCCGGTCCAACAGCTAATGTCCTTGGAGCACTTGCGGTAGGCGAGGCCCGGCCTGCGTCCGCCTTTTCTCTCACTTAACCCTGGGAGGGTGATGCCGCTCCATCGACGAGGGTAGGGGTGGATGGGACTGAGACGCAGGAAGCTGAGTTGCTCGCCCTGACCCAGAGCTGGGATCTGAGCCCAAAGTCGCAACGTCTGGGGTTTTAGCCCGCCCCAGGCGGGCATGGAGTCGCTCAGTAGCCCGCGGGCAGAAAGCAAGATGAAGGCCCAGAAAAGGGACATCTTGCCCAAGGCTGAACACCAGCGCCCCCAGCATGTGCTTGCACACGTGTGTGCGTGTGCCCCCCCCCCCGTTCTTGTGCTTGTTCAGTTCACATGGCACGCACTGAGGTTCCCACCACCCCCCCAACACCTCAGCCATCCCCCAAGGCAAGGCTGTCGGTGAGCGCGCATCTTCCCGGTTGCAGGACTGAGCCCCTGCCCCATGGTCCTGGTCTTCGGGTGCCGGCAGGCCAAGATAGACCACATCTACCGGGAGGAGACCCTGCAGGCCAAGAACAAGGGCGTCTTCCGGGAGCTGTACACGGCCTACTCCAGGGAGCCAGACAAACCAAAGGTGACCGCAGCTATGCAGTTCCCCAACCCCACCCCAACACGCACCTCCCCTCCCCAAAGAACCCCCCCCATCTTTTCTGACTCTCCGTGAACTGGTTTTATGATTTAGGGATGGAGAAGACAGCTATGTACTTAAAATATTGAATAGCCCCTACGATGTGATTCCACTTACGTGACTTTTCACAACAGCCAAATCCCTAGAGACACAGGTTGACGGGTGTGAGGGACTGTGGGAAAGAGGGAGGAAGACTCCCCATGGGTATAGGGTATCCTTTTGGGGGTGATGACAGATTCTGATACAGCGGTGGTGACAGCTGCAGAGCATTGTGGATACTCACTGCACTGAGCTGTGCTTTGAAAGCGTCACCTGACAGTTCTATCGTGTGTGTTTTATCACAATAAAAATGTTTAGCGATAAGTATCAGAAGAAACATTTAGCAGCCCACGAAAGGCGCTGCTGTCAGACCGGCCACAGGACGGGAGCATGTTCCTGTTGGATTTGGGGAGGTCCGGGGGGCGTCCCAGGAAGAGGGCAGGGCAGCCGAGGGCACGGGGCCACTCGACCACTGGGGGGAAGTGGGCAGTGTTTTAACAACCAGGACAGCAAGACGTGCCAGCTACATGCTCCAGACGACCCAGACAACCCCCAAGAGGTGTTCTGCGCGCCCTCCTGCCCCCCTCCACTCTGCTTTTGCTGTCGCTTTGCATCGGGTGACCTGCCAGCCCCCCCCCACCACCACCTCCTGCTGTCTGCCCTGCACTTCCCTGGCACCCCAAGCCTGCAGCCACCAACCGAACCTACAGCTGGACGGGTCTTTCCACCCCCTGGGGACCACTGACCGCAAGGGCAGGGGTGCTGGAGGTTGTGCCCCGGTGCATCAGTGCCCAGCTCTCTCACTGGCTGCACCCCGCTCCCTGCAGAAGTACGTGCAAGACATCCTGCAGGAGCAGCTGGCAGAGCCCGTGTACAGAGCCCTGAAGGAGCAAGGAGGCCACATTTACGTGTGCGGGGATGTCACCATGGCTGCTGACGTCCTCAAAGCCGTCCAGCACATCATGGCCCAGCAGGGGAAGCTCTCGGCCGAGGACGCAGGCGTGTTCATCAGCAGACTGAGGGTGAGCGACGCACTGACTTGCTGCACCCCTTTGCTGGCACCTAGCTGCCCACCTCCTCCTCAGCCCCTGCCTCCACGATGAGGGGAGCCAGGATGGCCTCCCTGCTCCCGTTCGGCCTGGCCGTGGAAGATATAGGAGAGAGAGAGAAGGAAGGACATGCAGGTGCCTATAACTCCAGTGAGGGGCTGCAGTGTGTGAAAATAACAAGAGGGTGGGCCTGCAGTGAGACCAGAGCCATCATAGGCCAACTTTCCTGCCCGCAGAAGCGCTGCCCTGGGCAGTTGCGCAGGTTGGGCATTGCACAGAAGGTCTGTCCAAGGGGGACAAGTGGGGGCTGAAAGTCACCCAAGCTTGACTCTCCAAGCTGCTCGCCTTGGCAGGGAGCTGTGCCCACCCCAAGGAGGCGTGCCTTTTCCTCGTTTGCACAAAGACAGGACAGATGCTAAGAGCAGCCCAGCAAAGCCTTCAGTGTGTAACCACCTGACCCAAATAGGGAAAACGAAATCCCAGACCCTCACTAAGCTCCAGGAATGATCCCACCCTCCCCTCTGCTTCCTTGAAGGAGCAGTAACCAGACATCTTTACAGAAGAATCCCTGGTTCTAAATCTGGGAGTAAACGCCAGTAGGTTAAAAAGGGAGGGACAGGGAGAACTTTCTGGTAAAAATGCCAGATCCTAAGAGAGCTGTGGAGCCCCAGCACTCAGTCTCTGGCCTTCCTCTCGGGGTCACTGTCATCCACCTCCCCGGGTGCAGCTGTGGGGTGCTGCCTGAGTCCAGTGCGGTACTTCTCTCCTCCCGTCTCAGCAGATAAGGGGTTTCCCAGCAAACCCCGCTTTGCCCAGATCTGAACAGGACTGGGAAGAGGAGGGAAAGAGGAGATGACCGGGTTTCCCTTTGCACCCCTCACCTCTATCCTCAGAGCCCGCAGGGCCCTGCGGGGAGAGGGGCAGTGAGCCAGTGCAGGCCCCCAAAGCCCTGCAGGCTCTCCCGTCCCGGGCTGCCGGCGTGCGGTTTCCTTGGCTCACAGCGAAGGACTGTTGTTGGCCGTTTCTGCCTCCAGGATGACAACCGGTACCATGAGGATATTTTCGGGGTCACCCTGCGCACCTATGAAGTGACCAACCGCCTTAGATCTGAATCCATTGCCTTCATTGAAGAGAGCAAAAAGGACACTGATGAGTAAGCTGTGGGCTGGGGTGGCCGAGCCCTCTCTCTGGGCCCCAACTGGCAGGCGCATCTGGGCCCACCACACAGCTTTCCTACAGCAGCGTTGGCACCACCTGTTAGAAATGCAGATGCCCAGGCCACCCAGCGCTGAGAATCCGAAACTCTGGGTGAGGGTGCAGCAGTTTGAGCTCTAAGAACACCCCACCACCACCACACACACACACGACCACGCACAGTGATTCCCGCCCCTGCCTGGAGGGCCCGCTTGGTGACTGGTGACTGGCCTGGGGAATTGTGTTCCCACCTGTCTAGCGTCTGTCCACGGCCCTCACCCCAAAACCGCCCAGAGCCTCTCACTGATGCAAGCCCCAGTTGGTATTACTTTGACAGTTTCACCCACCGGCTAGAAATTATGCAGCTGTCTGAGGCACCCCGGGACTGGAGTTGAGTGTCACTGTTGAAACCTTGTTTTAATACCAGGACAGCACTGCTCCTGCCTGTGCCCACCCTCTCCTCTCCTGCCCTGAACACCCCAAGATCTCCTCCCCTAGAGGAGGCAGGAACTCAGCTGCTCGTCCCAGGCGGCACTTGCTGCTCCCTTTCCCCGTCAGCACCCTCAGGGTGGCCGTGGCCGGCGTGGCCCGCGGGGAGGCACCCTTTGGTGTCGGCTCCTCCCACGCGGCCTTCACAGCCAGTCCTGCGGCTGGCTGGCCCCGGGGTAGCTGCCTTTTCACCCGCTCATCCTGTCCTTCAAGGAGAGGCCAGCGGCCAGCTTGCGCCTCCAGGTCCTGATGGAGGCTCTACTCACCCCGGCTCAGAGGAAGGCCCTAGGAGCCGGGTTCGGGTGGCTCCAGCAGCCGAAGTCGCCCCCGCCCCCGCCTGCCCTCGGCCCTGACGCCCCCCACTTCTCCTCCGCAGGGTTTTCAGCTCCTAACTGGATCCTCCTGCGGGGGCAGGAGGGCCCCCCGGGCGCGGAGGCGGGCGGCTGCAGCTTGCCCTCGGGACCCGGGACCCGGCGGCCCCAGCTCTGCCTCTCGTCCTGTCACCGTGGCCTGGTTTTCCTCCTCTGGGTTCTCGCTGTCACTGGTTTCCTGGGCCCCTCGGGCTGCTCCTTGATCCCCGCTGCAGTGCATCGCCTTTGTCACCCGCAGTGGCTCTTACCGACGCCTCCCCTCTTCCTGGCAAGGACAGCTCACTGCGCAGGGAACCTCCGCTCGTTTTCTTGTTTTCCGGGACAGGGGTTTCCTGCGCCCGTCACCAGCCCCTCGCTCCCTGACCCGTTTTTATGATGCCGTTTTGGCCGCGAGTGCGTGTGCTGGGCTGGGTCTCGGGCGCATGTGGTCTGTGTGAGCGTGCCACTTGCACCTTGGTGCCCAGAGGTGCCCCAACCTGTAGTATTCCTCGGGCGTCCAAAAGTAAGGGTCTGTGCCAAAAGTAAGGGTAAGTGTCCCTGATTGTCCTGTAAAGGGCGAGGCCATGGGGTGGGGGTGACGGTTAAGGGGGAAATCTGCAATGAAAGGGGGAGTCCCAGAACTAGATCCTGTTACACTAGGCGGGGGGGGGGGGGACCTCTCCTGGGTTCTTAAGCTCCCTAACTGGACAAACCCCCTCCCACTCCTCCCGTCCCCTGTATGGGAGTAAATGGCACCCCTCTCGACAGTTCAGTGTACTGAACTCGGCGTCCCGCAGTGCCCAGAGAAAGCCAGGCAATGCCAGTGAGCCCCAACCCCAGGACCACCATGCAGGGTATGCCCTGGGACCCAGGTTGGGAAGCGGGGAGACACAGCCAGTCCCCACCTTCCCTTTTGACTGTGGTACTACAAGACAGGTTCCTTTGTGGACCCACAGAGGGTGTTTCTTTCTTAATGCTCAGTTTGGGGCCCTGCCTGGCCTTCTGTGGAAGGGCCTCAGCACTGGGGTGCCAAAGAGGTATCCCTGGGGGGCTTTAAAGCCAAAGGGCAACCTGGACTTCGCCTTTCTCCCCTCTCTGGAGCCCCAGCTGACAGCAACTTGTAGCTGGGGGCTGTGATCTCCCACCCCGAGTCCTCCCCTCAGACTGTCAGAGCCCAAGAGCTGGGCACACCCAGCTGAGCCTCTTTAACGCGGAGGGGGCCCCTGGAAACCACCTCTCCCCTGCAGGTGCCACCACCTCTGTGTTCCTGGGAGCTTTTCTGCCAGAGGCCTTCTTCCCACCCCTCTGCACCTTTGGCGTGTCCTCCTGAGCCGTCACTAGCTCCCCAGGGACTGGTCCTCTGTCAGAGAGGGATGGCTGCTTACTCTCCCTGTCACGCTTTCCCCACGGATGGCTCCCATCGCCTAATACGACCTGGGGAGCGCTTACCATGTGCCAGGCACCTTCTTCACATGTGCCTGCCTTGCTGGTAGTAGGCAGACAGGTGGACACATCTTGTTTTATCGGGGAACCCAAAGAAATGATTATGTAACCAGAATTCAGCTCTTTCTAAAAGGATATTTTCTTTTAAGTAAACACCTTTCAATCCCCAACACAAGCTGCTTCACAGCTCTTGGCTTAGATGATAGGAGACTGCTCTGATGCATTTCTCTCATTTGCTACAATTCCTGATCCCAAAAGCCTGGCTGTTAGGAGCTCAGAGGAGGCAGAGTGGAGTCCCAGTTTGGGGGTTAGCTCTGTTCCCGGTGGGCAAATGCTGCCCTCTGGTGGTGACTTTGAGTTCAGTCCCTGCGGCCAAAAATAGGTGCAAAATGGGTTCAGCAATAGATGAGCAAAAATACAGTCAACTCTAGCTAGGGCTTGGGGGTCAGCCAGCACCTTTTATTTTCTTCTCCCCTGAACTGGCCTGTAGTAGCTCCAACTCCGTTTAACAAAAGTGAGTTTGGCCAAGAAGAGTGAGATCCCTGCTAGCAGGAGCTGGAACCATTGTCTCTATGAATCCAACTCCCCATGTTGTGTTTCAAAACAAGTAAGAGTAGTTAAACTCGTTGGGAAGAGAAAGGGTTTCTTTGGCTTCCATGGAGTGAGAAAGCCAGCTGTCTTTCTTTTGGGAGAATGCTTTTGGAAGCGGACTCCGCCCCATTTCCGTTGGCAAGGGCCTGGTGTCTGCATACCACACGCGTTAAGAGGTGCATTGAGTGAGATGATGACCCGAAAATACCCCAGGACAGTGCCTGCCCATTGTAAGCAATCAAATTTTATTTTTCACTTAATCGATAAGATCTCTTGCTTCTCCGGGATGTGGAAGGCACCAGTTATGGGGTGTGCAGAGCGAAATCCGGGACCTCATTTATCAAAGGTGACTTATCTGGTGATAAGTAACGGTTCTCAGGATAGACAGAAACGTCTGGGGTTTGAGAGTCCATAGGCCAGTTTGTGGGGGCCCGGGAGCAGGTGTCAGGATGTGGAAGAAACCTAGGTGGGGAGCATTTGGGGCAAATCAGGGTTGCCTTCAGATGTAGCCCAGCTTTGGAAAGCTGAGGGACCGGAAGAGGGGCCTGCAGAGGGCAGTGGGGAGAGGGGAGGGACACGTCAAGGAATTTAGACTTTTTTCTCTGGGCCACAGAAAGTCCTTAAAAGTGTTTTTATTTTTCCCAAAAGGGAAATTAAAACGATAGCATTGTGCTCAAGAGGGGCTATTCTGGCTGCAGCCAGCCTATCAAACAGCTGGCTTACCGCAGTAACCCAGGCTTGAGTGAAGGGAGAGGGAGAGGTGGTGATCCCAAGGATCCCAGGGGTTCAGTCCACAAGACCCGGAGACTGATGTGTCCTAGAACAAAGGGGTAATTCAAAAGTCTTGCCTCTTGAGGAAGGGGCTCAGGAGAACGAACAGGCCACGGCCAGGCCGGGGTGGGCAGTGGGGAGTGTGTGGTGTTGACACAAGAGCCAGCGTCTCTAGAGTCGGCGAGTGAACCCCCGGCCCGGCCGCGCCGACGCGCCCAGAAAGAAGACAGACCCCAGCCAAGAGACGCTGGCCTCGGAACACGGGATTTTCTTGCCAAACAAGCCCTCTGCAGCCACCTGCGTGGCTTCGGAAAGCAGGTCAGGTTTTGCCTTAAGTCCAAAACAAGTGGACCGTGGACTCTCTGACCCAGATCATGGGGCAGATGGGCCCTGCCAGGATGGACAAGCCAAATGCCTGGCCCCTTCACCCTGATGGCTTTGGCCTGGCTTAGTCTTTTCGTTCGTGTGTTAGGAAAGCCATGAACTTTAGATTTTGTTTTAAGCTGGCTGTGTTTACTTGTAAATTTCCACGTCCACTGCCCCATCTCTAGCACGTCACTGTGCCCTCTTCCCTCAAAACCTTCTGTCTGAATAGGCAAGAAACTGCCTGTGGTGACAAGAAGGAAATTCTCATCCGGGCTTCCTCTGTAAGCTGTCCATACGCCCCTGTCGGCCTCCAGCCTCTGTCTCCTGCACCCAAGTGTCTTGTTTCATTCAAGAATTGGAGGCCAGGAGCTGGGATGGACAGATCCCTGTCTGAGAGATTGAGGGAGGAGCCTGCCCCAAGGGGCTCAACACCGTGGTCCCACAGGCCCAAGTCTGCCCTGGGCATCTCCTCTGTGTCCCACGCCCACCGCTCCTGGGGCCCCTGCAAGTCCTGCCTGGGGACAAAGGGCCCCAGAAGCAAAGCTGCCTCTCCCCAAACACTGCTTGTCTCCCCCCTGAGAGCCAGGGAAACCTTTACCCCTGGAAAGCAGGCTCTGTTTTCTGTCGCTACTTGGCCAAGCCACGTGCAAGGGAGACGGCCAGGAGTAGACCGGCCGCAGTGTGCCCGTGGGTCTGTCCTGTCCAGGAATGTCAGCGCGGTTCTGAGCAAGCAGGGCATGTCTGTCCGGTCCGGGGAGGAGCCCATGGCCAGTGAGTGGCCCCGGCTGGCAGGAACAAATCTGCCTTAACGTGCTGCTTTCCACAGTCTTCTAGAAAATGATTCCAGGACTTCATAGTGCCCAGACTTGCTTCCTAGCGCTTCTAGGCCCGGGTTCTCAGCCTCCGCACTCTGGCGTCGAGGCTGGAGGACGCCTTTCGGAAAGGGCTGTCCAGGGCATGGTGGATGCCAAGCCACATTCCTGGCTCTGCCCACTGCAGCCCACAGCACCTCCCCTGCTGATATGTCCCCAACCAGATATGTCCGTGGACATTGCCCAGTGTCTACTGAGGGGGCCGCCGCCTCCCCGGCTGCTCCAAGCCTGGCAGCCGCCCCTGGAATGAGGAGAGCTTCCTTCAGCCTGGACTTTTGTTTCCATTCTCTGCTGCCAAACTGAGATTTGAAGGATCTCAAGGGGAAGAACACCGTGTGGTATCAGAAACTCCTCCCGAGACAGAGGAAGGTGGTTCTGTTTCAGGAAGAGGCTGCGTCCTTGGCATCTGTTCAGATGAAGGCCTGGGAGTCCCGCGCACCCGTGCCGGCTCGACCAGCCCCTCCAGTAGCCTGCACCCTGCCTCAGCCCTGTTTTCGTTGTTGTCATGTTGTCCTTGTGATTGTTAAGACCCACGCCGGGCTCAGCAGTGGTTTTCCCAAAAATGGAGAGAGTGCACAGCGGTTGCTCCAGTTGCTGTACCCCCTTGTGGGTTTCCTCTGGGGTGAGGGAGGTGGGTGGTTGGACTCTATGTGCTGTTGGACTCTCGGACCCCCCCTACCTCTGAGCTCTCGATGCTGCTAATCTCTGCCCAGCATCCCACGTGCTCCAGCTCCTTCCTCCAAGGACTGACGCCCGCCCCCATGCCCTTTGCAAGGTTGTCCAGGCTGTGTTCGCCGCATGCTCTTCTGTATAGTTCTCATCTTCTCATTTGATGGAATTCAACAAAAGTCTACTTATGCCTGTTTGCATTATGGTTAACATATTAAAAAGTGGACTCAACTTGACTGACTGTTGTCTTTTGTTTGATTGGCTCAGAATCTCTCATGCCTTTGACTTTTGTCATGGGCTACATGTCAGGAACCCCATCAGGCAGAGGTGGATGGAGGCGGGTGAGGGCTCCCCTCGGGAAGGGGTGGGGAGAACCTGCCTGGTCATGAGGAAAGTCTGAGCTGCCAGAGCATCGAGCAGAAACTTCAGCCAGCCTCCTGGAAATTCTAAAAGTGGCCCCTCAGAGCATGCCCACTGAGACGAGAAGACGGGACTCCATATCCCTCCACCTAGCAGCCTGGGGGAGGCCGCTCCCCATGGATGGAAGCCCTTCCCCAGTGGGCTGGCTTTCTGAGGACACGCCTCGCAGCCAGACGAAGAGTTCTTGATTCCCGACACGGATCTGGAGTCCTCACCTCAGCCTCCCCACCCTCTTCCTGGACACTTTTGTCTCCATCACAGCTGCATTCATAGGACCCCAAGGACGCTCTACCCCTCCCCCCAGCCCTTCCTCCCTGTACACACAAGTTGAGGACTCCAAAACCTAACTCCTGGCTGGCCTTGCACCCAGTTCTGAAAGAAAGAGCCTCAGAACCCAAAGAACAGATGAAGTCACGTCACGTCACTCTAGACACCCAAGGTGGTCACTGTGCAAAGTGGAGCTGGGGGCTGGGAGGCCTAAGGTGTCACCATACCCTTTGGCATGTGGCCGTTGGATGCTGTGGTGTGACAGTCACACATACTTCATGATCACAAACCACTGGGACAACACACCATTCTGTGCCTCAGCCCAAGTACAAGTGTGAGCTGCATGTCAGAGTCGGGCGTGGAGGTGGCGGCTCCATCCTGCCCTACAGAAATTAAGCAGCAAGTAAAAATAATGGCCAGCTCATAAATGTCAGTCTTCCCGTGAACATTTTGACATGTTGAGGTTGCTCTCTCCAATTTAAAACTTGGGAAACTGAGGCACAAAGCCATCAACCAGCTTGTGCAAGGTCCACATAGGTAGAAAATGTTAAGGTGCGGAATTTGAACCCAGATGGTCTAGCTCTAGAATTTTCCTTCCTAACCACCATCCAGGGTCGCTGCTAAGAGACCCTTAGATTGCCCCGTTCGAGCCCAGCTCCTCCACTTCTTCACTGTGTGACTTTGGGTGAGTTACCATATTTCTCTGAACCTTCATTTCTTCACTGTCAAATAGGATGCAGTTGTTCTGACCTCACTGCCTTGCAGTAAGATTAAGTAAGTTAAGGTATGTGATAGACATAGAACAGGGTGGGACTCAATAAAAAGGCCTAGAATAGAACAGTCCAGGACATAAGCAAAGACACTAAGCTGCCTGTTCTGGTTCCTTCGAACTTTCTTAGCCTTTATCTCTTACTGGAGTTCCAAACAGCTCCTCCTCGATGCTGCTGCTATTTACCACTTGGCACCTAATGCCTGGGTTTCTGGGGCTTCTTCAGACCGCCTGCTATCCCCAGGCCACGCATCGCATCGTTAAAGCCAGTTTGGCCTCCTTCCACCTGCCCATGGGCACTCACAGGGATCAGGTCTGAGACACTCTCACATTTTTAACCTCTTCCCTGTGTGATTCCCACACTAGAGTTTTGAGGGACCCAGCCTCAGTAGAGGGGAGGGCAATTTAAATATATATTAATTCTGACCAGTGTGGCTTCTGTTGTCCAGCAGCCAGGTGAAAAATCCCAGTTTACACCAATACAAAACCTTCCACACACCATGGAAAGGAGAGACGGGGTGGGGGGGACTCACGGGGAAGAGGAACAGGGAGCCACAGCAGATGAACATAGAACGCGGGCTTCATAGTCAGCTAGGTGGTAAGGATGCCCTTCTCACTGTTCGCTTGGCAAGATTAGCAAGAGAGAAAAGAGGAAAGTACTTATAATCAGATGGGTCAATACAGAGCTTAACCCTCTTCATTAAAAGGAAATCGCTTTAGCGATGGCTCTGGAGGAAAATAAGATTAAGTTCATCAAATAGCAGGAGATCTAAACCAGAGTAATTAGTAAAGTGATTTCCAAAACCCAATTCAAACTCTTTACATTACTAGACTGGGGGAGGGGGGTGGAGGGAGGGGTCCTGTTGCTTCTGCATCTCAGCTTTCTGTGCTAGAAGTCCGGGTTGATGTCTGAAGCTGGTAGTGAAAGCCTAGCTATCTTGGCTCCTCCCTCGTTCAATGTTCTCAAGAATTCTGAATTTTTCAAGGACGATGAGTTTCTCTCTCCCCGGCTCCATTCTTGTCTGAAAAGGCCATGGTGTGGGTAAAGAAACTTAAGTGCGAGAGAGCGTTTGCACCATGCTATAAACTCAAGGTGTGGTATCTGTGATGTTCATTAACCATTGTGCACGAATAATTGAATCCGTTGTGTTTGGAAGGCCTTGCAAAGAACGGCAAATGGAAATGCAGTTTCCTGCAAAAAGCTGCTGGCCAAAGCTGTAGGAAGAGACACCTGTTCCTCTCTTCCCCAAGTTGGTGTCCTCGCCTTCCTGAAAAGCACATTGGCCCCAAGTGCCCTTTCCTGCAAACTTATGCTCCCTGTAAGCCACTAAGTTGAGCAAAGCCGGGACTTGCTCAAAGGAGTCTGAGGACCCCAGAGCAGAAGAGTGGGACCAACCCTATCACCCGACTCCCTTCTGCTCCACTCCAGCTCTCTGTCTGCAGCTCTTCTTCCCCCTCCCCCAGCTTTTGTTTTTCTTCTGCCAGGCCTTTGCTTCTGCAGGCCCCCCCACACCCACCTAGAAAGGTGACTCTCTTATCTCTGCCCTACCACCTCTGTTGTAGAGGGTTTGATTCAGACACCGCCTTTTCCAGGGACGCCCTTCTCCGTCGCCCACCCATGCTTCCTGTCCGAACCAGTCAGCTGGCATATTGGAGGTATGACTTAGCCATAGTTGTGTGTGTGTTTGTGTGTGAGTCATATCTGCCACTATGTCTTGGCTGCCTATTGTCCCAGAAATGCTGAATAGCAATCGCATCTCCCTCAGCAGACCCACACTAAGGCTGCAATGCCACAGTCACACAGCTACCAACCCAGGCACGGGCAGCTCTGTCAGCCAGAAATGGCAAAGGAGGGATTTTCACGGAGAAGCCCCCCCCAAAGGAACACAGTTCAGCCGACACCTTTATTTTATCCCCTGAGACCCACTGGGTTTGCTGGCCCCCAGAGCAGTAAGATAACAAATGTGTGCGGCTGTAAACCTCTAAGTTGCAGTCATGTGTTGCAACAGCCATAGAAAATGAGTACAAAAATTGGTATAAAATCTGTATTCGTTTCATACAGCTGCTGCTCCAGCGAAGAATGATCTCCTTGTGTTTTCCAGTTTCTAGAACTGCCCTGTTTCTTGGCTGGTGGCCCAGCATCACTGGGTCCCTGGCTTCCATCCTCACTCCTCCCGTCTCTCGCCCATAGGACCCCTAGTGATGACAGGACCCACCGAGGTTGTTAATCTCCCCACCGCAGAATTCCAGATTTAATTCCATCTGCAAGGTCCCTATTGCCCCTAAGGCAACCATGATAGTGTAACTTATTACCGGAAATATGTATTTGGTTTTTGTCACTGTTTCTAAAACCCTTGCCATTTCCTTAGTGATGAGTGATAAAGGGGTTCTTGATATTCATCACAAGCCCTTTCACCCACACCTGAGTTTATGTTAATGAGGTGATTTTTGGAAAACAACTGAGAATTGGTTGCTAGGGAAACCACCCACATGATTAGAGGTCCATCCTCTGACCTCTGGGTTCATCCATCATGCCTAAGTAATGAGGCCTCCATGCAATCCCAAAAGGATGGGGTTTGGGGAGCTTCCGGGTTGGGGAACACATAGCTGTGAAAGGATGAAAGCCCTGAGGCCCCTCCCGCTTACCTTGCCCCCGCATCTCATGGCCTAGTCCTCACCGATATCCTCTCATGCTAAATGCATAACCTAATAATTAAAGGCTCCTGTGCGAGTCATTCTAGCCAATTAATCAAGGCTGAGGAGGGGCCCTGGCAATCTCAGATCTGCAGCCAGTTTGTGAGAAGCAGTAGACTTTGGGCTGGTTTCTGAAGGGGAGGATGTGGTCCCAGTGGGCCCAGGCCCTTAACCTGTAGGATCTGACACTATCTTCCCATAGATGGTGTCAGAATGGAGTTCAGTTGTAGGACACCCCACTTGTGTCAATGGCTTGATGGTGGAGGTGGCGGGCCGTAGGGGAGCTTACATTGTTATATATTCGCGTTTCGGAGATTAGAATGTGAACATGTTTGGGGGTCATGTGAAGATACTGTGGGTTCAGTAGGAGATCACAGGAAAAAACAAATAGCCTACGCACCACCACCCCCATAGCCCTCTGAGATTCATACCCACCCCATGAGCTAAATCCATTCCGTTCAATCACTTGCCCTTTGAAGGATTTGTTCACACATTCAGCAGAAATATAATGAGCACTGAGCAGGAGGCTGGTTCTTTCATAGGCCCCAGAAGCCAACCAGTAGGCCTTACAATCTACTGGAAGGAGAGAGACAATTAAAAGAGAGAAGGCCCTCCTGGGTGGCGCAAGAGGTTATAATACAGCGCTATGAAAAGACATATGCAGGATGAATTCAGAAGGAAATTACTGAATTCAGAAGGAAGCTACTGCAGCATGAGTTCTATCCCTGGCCAGGGAGGTGACCACATGGCACAGCAGACCTCTCCTGTCCCACCCGCTTCTCCCCTCTGCAGTGTATTCAGTAGCTCTGCCTGTTCTGCTCCCCACTCTGTCTCTGATGAATCCTCTCACATCTCCCACCTCTGGTCTATACCCCAGCTCTTGTATGCATAAGTAAATAAATCTTTAAAAAAAATTTTAAAAAGAGAGCATGTTAGATGGTGAAAAGCAACTTTGGAAAAACAAAGTAGAGTGAGGGAGAGTTTAAAGGTGTGGCCAGGAGAGACCTTAACAATTAGGTGACTCCAGCACGATGGAGGACAGTGAGGGAGCAGCTGGACAGAAAAG